CACACACACACACACCACACCACACCACACCACACCACACCACACCACACCACACCACACCACAACACACACACACACACCACAACACACACACACACACACACCACAACACACACACACACCACGACACACACACACACCACAACACACACACACACCACAACACACACACACACACACACCACAACACACACACACACACACACACACACACACACACACCACAACACACACACACACACACACACACACACGCATGTTCAGCGCATTTCAGCTTGCCTAGCGGCCGTCGCTGTTCTCGGCCTCACGCTGTCGTGTAGCTTCGCCACGAGCCCTGCCCGCAGCGCTGTGGTCGCCTCAGATGCACCCCGCCCCCCCTCATCTCATGTCTAGTCCTCGGCGGAAGCCACCAGCTGGTCACCAGCTGATAATCTGATAGCGGCGTGAAGTCCTAATCACATGGAACCTACCTTCCCCGATGCACCGAGGACATGGACCGCTTGGGTTTTGGAGGAATGGAACCGCAGCACTCATCAGTTTTGTGTGAGAACTGGGACTGAACGGCGCAATCCATCTTTTTAGGGGGCATCCTGCGGATTCCTGCGGCCACCCTGTGGCCTTTTGTAATCCTTTTGTACGCAGAGGAGTCATCTCTCAACAGCCCTTCCGGCCTCCGCTGCCTCCGGCAACTCCGGCAACGGTGCAGGCCTTGAGAAGGTTTTTGAGATGCAAAAGAGAGAGAGCCCCTCGAGGCCGAAGGCGAGGCGCCGCCCCTGCCGTGCCGGGCGCCAGGGTCGCCCTCTGCGCCCTCCTGCGCAGCGCGATTTTCTCGGCCTCCCTGGTCGGCGACGGCGGTGCCGTTGCTGGCGGTGCCATTGCTGCCGTCGCTCGCTGTGTCGCTCCGGCGCCGAGCCATTCGAGCCCATCGACTGCAGCGACACGCGATCTCCAAATCGCATATTTCGCCTCTCGACTGCGCAGAGGCCGAACATGGCAGAACGTCAGCTGCAGCAAGACTTTCAAGTTGTTTACACGTGATTATTCTTTGCCTCACTTGCTTGATCTTGGTGCCGGCAGGTCCTAGATTCCTCCTTTGTGGGAGTTGGCTCTCGCAGAGTTGGCTTAATTGATCCGGACTCAGTCTGCAGACAGTTTGCCACAGCTTGCGATCGAATTCAAGCATTTCTCCACATCAGCAACTTGTCAGGGACGGCAGGTGAAGCTGAGCAAAGCCTTACGTTGTGCCGGCGATGAGTCGGATGATGGGGTGCCTGCCATGATCTGTCATGTGTGACGCTGCGCTGTTGGACTCACTTAATCGAAGAAGCTTTTTGAGATGTCGCGGAGTGAAACGACGTGAAACGTGTTGCGGCGTGTTGGAGTTCTGTTCGAAGTGTGCAGGGCGGCGACATGGAGTCAACCGATATGAGTTTCCTCCAGAAGCTGATTCAGAAGCAAAGGGAAGCTACAGAGCTTGCAGCTTAGTTTGCTGCACAGCCCTCGGAATCTTCAAGTGCTTTCTGAGCACTCAGGATAGGCATCTGCACTGAAGACTGGCATCCTGAGCTATTTGATGAAGTGCCTGAAGGCCTTTTCTTTGAACATGAAACTTCGGAACTGAGTTGGGCCCGAGCCAGAATTCAACATCGATGGAACGTTCAAAAAACTCAAGAACCCCTGCTGGACGTGCCAGGTTACAGGGATGCTCTTGAGGCCGGAGTTGATTTAGTAGATGTGCTTGCCAACAGTAGCGCGCTGAAGCTCCTGGTGCCTTGACTGCACTGATCTGCAATGTGAGTGTTTCCAGGGCTTCGAGGGTTTCCGTGGGTTTCACTATGTTTCACTTCGACACGTGCTAGTGCTCAACGCTGCCATACTCAGGCATCGACGCCTGCGAAGGGACAGCCTCGGTTTTCAATTCGAGTGGCGCCCAAACCGACCTTGGGACCGGCCGAAGTCTTCACATTAGCGACACATTAACGTGCTGAACACGTACACATGTAAAGCTTCGACGTGCTTTTGTTATCCTCTCCTTCTCTCTTGGAAGGATTGGGTTATATTGTCCACAGAAGCGTGGTTCAGCACTACGCGGCGGGGGGCGCCATCTGCCTTGATGCAAAGTGTACCTATAAGTGCAACTACTCTGCTTGTGGAGAGGTGCTCAGTCCGCTACAGCAGACAATGAAGAGGCCACCTTTACCACCCCACCGTATTTCCCGGTACATGAGTAACGCTTGCATCTGTGCCAGGCTCAGTGTGGGGGAAATCGAGACGCTCACCATACACAGCCTTGGTCAAGGAGACATGGCCAGCTGACCTGCTACACCCTGCTACACCGCCACACCCGCACAAGAGCACATTTGCAGGACGAATGCATTTTCCTTTTTGGGCGCAGCGCTTGGCAGCGCTTTCCAATGATCTGGACTCCTTCTCTGAAAACTCGCGAGGTCTACGATGCCGTTGTAGAGGCATACCAGCCCGGGGCGTGGTGATGGTGTGAGTGGCATCAGCTGTTGGACTTCCAGCTTCGTGAAGCACTTAGCTGAGGAAAGGGCTTTGCTCGCGGATTGGGGTGAGCCATCCAAATGCGGACATCAAATCAGTTCTGCAGGCCCGCCAGGACCGACACGTGCCAGATACGTCACAGTGGGACAATCATGTTCGAAACTGTGATTTCGAGACTGTGATGGCTTCGCTGTGACGGTTAGCGAATCTCAGAGAGGAGTTAGAGAGACGTGGTGCCTCGTGGCCTGGCAGCATTTGGCAGCATTGGCCAGCATGATCCAGCATGTGCTTAAGCCACGAAATGGTCTGAGGCTGTCATGCGTGCGTGCCTCAGACACTGCAGAGAGAGCGAGCGAGAGAGAGAGAGAGAGAGAGAGAGAGAGAGAGAGAGAGAAAGAGGGGCGCGCCTGGGCACGGGGGCTTGCCCTCTAGCCCCAATGAAAGAAAAAAAAAGAGAGAGAGAGAGAGCTGGTTTCTTGCTGGGGTTGGGGGCAGGGGGACAGAATAGTCCACCACCCGGGGCTAGCAGAGTCACAGGTACAGACGCAGGCGGGGCATGGGGAGAAGGAGCACGTGCTGGACTTCGAGTAAAGGGGGCAAGGGCAAAGGTGGGGGTCAATGGTTCCGTGCTCTTTCTCCTCCAACCGCCCCAACCAGAGGCCCCCCGAATACCGGGGCGGGCGAGAACGCCCGGGGGCTTGCCCCCATGCCCCCAAGAAAAAAAGAAAGAAAGCGAGAGAGACCCACCCCCGGCTTGAGTAGTGTGTATAGCGCTCGCACCCAACAATGGGTTCCTCAAACTGTGCATCAGAAGCAAGAGGGACAGCAATCCTACAGGTCGGTTTGTGTTAGAAACGGCTCGGTGGGTTCATATCAGTTTACATCTACAGTCTACAGTTCGGTTCCACTATCCCGTGCCTGCAGAAAAGAGCAAGAACGGAGACCAGGAGAGCGAACGCCACTAATTAATGAGCCACCCTCAACATGTTGCTTGCTTCGCTTGACGATGAGGTCTTTGTCAAGCTGTCATTGTTGCAGCGCGAGGTTGGACTACACACAGCCACAGCAGTCTGAGTCCTGCAGTAGCAATTGAAAAGCACAGTTGAAGAGTTGAAGCATTGAAGAACCCATATTGTTCGAGTATTAGTGACACTGTCTTGCACAGCATTGCCAGGCCACGCAGTTGGTCAAAGCGTGTCGCGACGAGGGCTTGCAGGACTGCACCGTGCTGATCCGTGCTGTATCAGCATACACGTAGAGCGGCCGACAGTGCGGCGCTAAAAAATGTAAGCTCATGCAAACGGCTTGCCACAATCATGTCAAAAGTCAAAGCAGGTCTTCGCCACGGAGGTTCTCGGGCCCGAGGAGCTTGCGCCTGCGCCTCACAGATGTGCCAGAATTGCGGAGTTCTCTTTTGCTAAGCAATGCGCATAGCAATCGCTAAGCACCTGCTAAGCAGCCAAGAGTCGAGACGTGATGTAAGGTCTGGACGATACACCGCTGCCAACCCCACGGGCCGCTGACCGATCACCAGCTGACTGTACTTACATTACTCGCATGATCTCGCTTGCAAGGCGGTGAGATTTCCGTGCCTCGGTTTACTCTGGCGCAGCTCATGCCGCGCCACCCTCAGTCCCCTCCGCTGCCCTCCCTCTCCTGGCCCTCGGTCAGGGCTGTTCTGTTGCGGATTGCGCATACTGCCAGGCTGCGGCCGCTTCACGATGCTTTGGAAGAAGTCGCTCGCGGCCTGAGGCGGGAAAACGGGCTTGATGTGTCTGAAGCCATCTGAAGGCCAAAAAGAGCATGTCTCAAGGTCCTTCTAGTCTGCTCTCGTGAAGTCGGGAAGCTGTCCGGGACAGCAGCAGCATGTAAGAATGTCACCACGAAGGGAGGATGTTTTGGACCAAGGTCACTCCTGGTCCTGTTTTTTGATGGTAGCGATCACTGGTGGCAATAGCTGTATGTCGTTGTTGTCACAGGCACGGAACATCACAGAAGTCCAGGCAAGCTAAGTCATGGGCCTGTGGCGTGGAACCGGAGCCTCTACTGAAGGAGGTAGTGCAATCGAAAGCAAAGTTATGACATGAAACTTCAAAAGATGCAGGATACATCGTCTTAGTTGCAGGGTCTTCGGGCTTCATAGACCTTGGAGGTCGCGCTGCGAGAAACCAGAGATCGACACCACACAGGCTAGACCGCCGGAACAGGGCAGCTTTCAGAAATCGACTGGGTTTTGACAGTTTTGTTTGAGCAGGTGGCGTTGCAGTGGGTCGTCAGCAAGGGTGCAAGTCCACTCTGCGATGCGCGGGACTTGATTTTTCGACTTTCCGCGTGAAGTTCCAGCATCCTCACACTTGTCTTCATGAAGGTCACCACCACGAACAATGCCAAAGCTGTTGCTGGCTGCAAAGGCAACTTCGGATAACCCACAGAATCAACAAACGGACTGTTCTTGCTGTCTGCAGGGCCGGATGGATGGAAGCTGACACCCGAGGAAGAAGCACGGACAGAGCCACAGCTGATCACGTGCACACAATCACATGCGCACATGCCCACGCACGCACGCAGGCACGCATGCACAGAGATGCCCGTGCTTTACCAGTATGTGGTGTCGAGTGTCGAGCTCTCATGTGTCGAAAGCAAGGCTGGACGAAGCAGCAGATGAAGTTGCAAAAACGCGCAGAAGGCATTTATGGAAGTATGCACTGCTGTGCACGGCTTCACGCAGAAGTGCAACAATGACAGGTGGTGAGAGCTTCTGGCCAGACTATGCAACAGTTCTCACACCTCTTCGCGGACGCCAGCCTGAAATTCGGCGACTTTTGTTGCGATCTTTGGCACTCCTCTACTTATTCCTCTGCCTGCGCGGTGTGCAGTGTGGACCGCGCAGGATGAAGATGAAGGCATTCTTCTGAGCCGGCCTCCTGAGCAGAGGCTTCCAGAGAGGCTTGTGCCTCCAGGACTGAGAGACTAGGGACCTCGCGTGGGCTTGTCCGTGCTTCTCAGGTCCAAGCATGTCCAAGATCTCCAAACCCCTTCAGAAGCGCCAACAGATTTTCAGATGCAAATTCTATGTGTCTTTGGGAAAGTCTTTGTTACGGCCCTTCGGACTACAAGTTGCTAAGCTGCTTGAGGAAGCTCGTTTCAGTATTCAACGCAAAGCAACAAGTCAAGTTGCACTCTTCTTTTGCCTGTGGCAAGGGGGTTGCGTTGAAGACTTTGCACAGAAGCGTTAAAATGAGGTCTCATGTCTGAGATGGTGACTTCAACAACTTGCTGTTCACCTCGGTTGGTGTTTTTTGCTGTGTGGCATCGGCATAGGCGTGTTGCTCAAGTGGGCCGCTTGCAGGCAGCACAATCCAAATTGGAGTCTTTCAACTTGCATCAACATTTGCATGTCCTGAAACAGTCAAAGCATGGCCAAGCAATGCAAGGTTGCAGGTCAGAGAAGGCAGCGAGGGCAGACGGGGGTACCTCCTCTGAAACAGCACTGGCCTACTGCCATGTTCAGTCGTCCTCGCCTTGCGCGTGCACTATTTCAAAGGTGCTAAGCTGTGGCCTCACTTTTGCTTTACCTGTAGCTCGACTAGATGCATTCATGTTTGCGTAGTCCACCAAGGCGCATGGGATACGAGCCGTGCGCCGAATTCAGCGCCGCAGCTCTCCTAGCTGGTGCAGAGTATAGAGACTTCGACCTAATGCCACGCTCGAGTCCAACATCCAACACTGTCCAACACTACCGTCCAATACCTACGCCCAGGAAGGCAAGCAGCAGCCCGATCAGGACAGAGGCAGCTCGGAAACGATAAGAACTCATGGAGCTGAAGCATGTTGAAACAAGTTTCAATGGAGTTTCTTGATTCACTTCTGCCAAGCCATCCGCTTTGCAGGTCTGAGCTGGATCCGCTTTGTTCAAGGCAATCCAACATTCACGACTCACGCAAAGGATGCGAAACTTCATAAGTACTCTAATGCACGCACGTTGTTGCTTGTCAGAGAATAGCCTCGCCAGGGGTTGCGAGGGTAACATCTCCCGCCATTTGTTGCGGCGAGCGCGCGCCCAAGGAACCAACGAGTGATCGGGGCTCTTGCGGGTGAGTTCTCTCTCTCGCTCTCTCTATCGCTCGCTCTCTCTATCCCTCGCTCTCTCTCTCTCTCTCTCTCTCTCTCTCTCTCTCTCTCGCTCGCTCTTGGAGTGAACAAAACCACTGATCGCACAATCCTCTATGAGAGTTCTGTGAGTCTCTGAGGCGGCAGAAGGAAGTGCCAAAACATGAGCCGGCGGACGTCCTCGTCAGCCTGGAAGGCAAATGTTGAGTTTGGTCGGGGTTTCCGCTGACTGGCCGGCCGATTGTTGCATCGTTGGATTGTGGTTCGAAGCGCTGAGGCGCTTCTTGCTGCAAGGAGTGATAGATCTCGTACACTGCTTTTTGAGAGATCTTGCGTGCACGGTGCTGTTCCTGGAGTCGGCGGACCCACCAGTTGTGGAAACAAGAGCGGCCGCTCACGAAAAGAAAAAGAAAAGAAAAAATTAGCTGGCGCATCTGGCGGCTGGTCATGCGAAGCAGGAGCAGGAGCGACGGCTCAGTGGAGGCCAGGCAAGACACTGAGGTTTTCAAGAGATCGCCCATAGCAAGCCCGAAAAGGCTCCGAGGCAACCCCGCCTGCGGTCCCAGAAGGGAGGCCGAGCCTCTCCTCCGGCCACGGCCAGCACCGGAGCAGCTGTCTGTCTCGCCGACAGCGGCCACGAGCAAGCCACGCCTCGGCTCCTGCAACAAAGCCTCGTGTAGCAGCTGCAGACCGCCCACGAACGGCATGCTCACAAATCCCTAACGCAGCCCCGGGAGCGCTCGTCTGTGCAGCAAGAGCAGCATGAACACATGCAGGCTGTTCGTATCGCAAGAGCCCATAAGTGACCGCCATGCCAAGGCCGTTTTCCCAATCAGTTCTCGTGGGACCAAGAGAGTCCCAAAGTATGTGAGGAAGTTCTGGCGCAGCTGGCCGAACTTTCCAAAAAACCCTCTAAGGCGAAACCTGCTGTGAGGATCCGTTGAGAAGTGTGCCACACATGGTTGTTAGCTTGGAAGGAAAGCAGAACAGCATAGCAACAAATCGTACCACCCTGTTCTCCCTATTTCGGACGGTGTGCTGGTGCAGGTGAGCAAACATTTGAGGCTCGCAGTGATCCACAGCCGAACTCAGCATCATAGGTTTTGCATTGTGGAATCCTGTGGGGAAGGCTTTGTTTCAGATTGGCGAGCTGATTGGGCACGGCACCTTTGGAAAGGCTTGCGTGCAGTGTGTGTGTGGGTGGGTGGGTATGTGTGTGTGCAGTTAAATGATTGACACGCAGTGAAGCAAGCGATGCCAAGAAACTGATAAAGGTCTACGGCTGCAGTTACCGGTCCTCGGGAACTCATGATCTCTGCGTCGGGCGCTGGAAAATGCTTGGAACTCCTTTCAAAAGCATCTGGCGACTTTGAGTGACTTCTGAGCTACTGTGCAATTGCAGAGGTGAAAATTGTGGCCACAAGTGGGCGCCATGCTGCACGCGCTGACAACTTGGATCCTGATGAGGACGAGGTGAGCTATTGACTCTATTGACGCTTGAGCTAACCAAGGCGTCCAGATTACCGAAGGATGAGAAGCTCCAGCTTTTGAGGAATCCCTGGCAAGAGTTTGTCCCCCTCATGTATCATGCAGGGTGTTTCTTCATGACCAGATTGATGTTTCAAGATGTTTCTACATGCAGTAAAAGACAAAACAACTTTGACAGTGAGCCTGGAGTACTTGGCACGTGTCCCAGGCTCATTGCGTCACTGCGGCATCCGAACATCGTCCGATATTTCCGCTTCCTCCAGAGCAGCGAAATGCTGCGTTGGCCTCGGGCTGTTCTCAACATTGCGGATAAAACAGGGAGGAAAATGGAGGGAACTGAGGGAACACTCTGCGATTCCCTCGTGCACATGTCTTTTCTTTTTGAGGTATGTGGTGATGAGCCGATGCCTCGGGCCGGACCTCGCAGAGCACGTAGAGGCAGGGCTACGCGTCGCTTGGCGCATGCATTGCGTGTGCCTCGGTCTGAATCATGATCTCGCTTTGCTGAACGCTGACTTGCATGTCTGGCAGGCGGTGGGCCACCTAAAGATGAAAGATGTCAAGAGTTTCTCCAGGCATGGCACACGGAATGAAGCTCTGAGCTGCTCAATTTTGGGCTTCGTGTTACATTGACAGGATGATGCTTTCCGCAGTTGCTTCTGTACATCAGCATGGCAGGGCCCTTGTCAGTGCATTCCAGTGCATTCGTGTAGATTCAGTGTAGATGCCGGATTTCATGCTTTGGCAGGGCTGATGCACCGAGACGTTAAGCCTGCCACGGTCTGAGCTGCGTTGGCAAATGTTGCTGCATGTTGTACTTTACAATGGTTTTACAGCTGCAGCAGCAAACTCGCCAATGCAATGCCGCAAGGAAAACTTTCGCTTCACCGATCCTGCCGCTACGACTTTGCAGGCGGAGTAACTGTTGGCAGTTGCAACGCTTCGCCGGCTCGTGAACATCGAAACAAGCAGCATCTGCAGAACCAACTGTGTCCAGTACTGTCGGGTCTGAACTCTGCAGTGCCAAGACCTCTACGCCCTCCGCAGAGTTAATGCCAGACTCTGGCTAGGCTTTTCAAGTTAGTCCCGAGCCAAGCGGTGGAGCTCGATTCACACCTAAGCAGCCAGAACCCTGAACTTCACAGCTTCAACCTTCCTCAAATAAACCCTTTCAGTTTTAGAACTTCGACACCCATTACCCCTTACCTCTGCGGTTGACCTTTCAGCACACCTGTCCACCTGAAGAAACCCTAAACTGCGTTGTGTGCCGCTGCGAGCGGTTGCGCTGTGCAGCTCTTGGACTTTGGAGCCGCCAAGATTGGGGACGACGTGCCGAAGGCGGTCAAACAACGAAGTCCAACGAAGTCCTATCAATTCTACTGTTGTGATGCTTCTTGTGATGCCTTTTGTGATGCCTTTTGTGATGTAGGATGTTGCCATGCCTCCTCGTATCTCCGTGAGGTTCACACCGTGGTGGGCACTTTGTTGTACGCAGCACCAGAGGAGACTGGGAGGGGTTGCTCAGTTGCTCTTGCATCCCGGTCCTTGTTGTGGAGCTTGTATGGTATTGGTAGAACCGCAAACGCGCAGGTGTTCGAGGGCGCGTACGCGAGGTCGTGTGATCTGTGGAGTGGGCAGCTCGGGACGGTGTCGGGGAGTCTCCGCTTCTCGCTCTCGGAGAGTCTGCTCTCTGGGGGGGAGCCAAGTAAGAGAAGGCTGCGGGGCCGTGATCTTCTTCTTGGTCTCCGGCCACCTGCCCTTCCAGGCAGAGAGAGAGGGGGCTCTCTATATGATGGCTCCTCTCTCTGTTGCTCTTTGCGCAGTCCCCTTTCTGACGTGCATGTGAGAGCTGCATGTGGGAGCCGCTTGAGACCTCGGACGTCACCATGCTGCGCAGCATGCACCGAGATCCAGCTTCTCAGACCAACTCAGTGTACCTCCTTTGTCGTTTGTGTTTCTGCGGATTCTGCGCGGTGTGGCGTGGCGTGGTGTTTAGGGTCGGCAGATTCAGCCAGCTGATGTGACTCAGGTGCTCAATGGCGAGTGCCTGTTTCGGGGCGAGTATTGGCGGCAGGTGGTTGGCATGTGAGTTGCACCACTCGGACTACATGCCGTGTAGAGTGCAGAGAGAGTGCAGAGAGCACAGAGAAAGGCATGCTCAATGCAGGCTCCGCTCGGTGCCAGAAGTTTAGTTCGAGGTTTGCTGAGCGTCGAAGCCAGACACAGGCAGCTGACAGCAACGGGAGGGGGGAAGGCAGTTGTGGTCGTCGGTCCAGGCTGACGGCAGACGAAGCTTATGGTCACGAGTGGTTTCAGAGCCCGGCGCTGAGCTCCGACATAGTGCTCTTTCCCCATGTATCGAAGCCTCTAAGTGCCACAGCTCGATGAGGTTTTGATGAGGCGCTTCGGTATGCTTCGGTCTGGGTCTGAGCGGGTACCATCAAATGTCAACGACTTGCCTGCTCAGGCCATGGCCATCGATTGCATGACAAGGCATCCTCGCTGAGAATGGCGTAGAAGGATAGTCAGACTGAGGCTTGTAGCAACCTGTGTGGGAGGTCGCCCATGAGTCGTTGTGAGGGCAGCCGTGTAAAGCTTGCAGACCTGAAGCGCACGTCATGGCCCCAGCGCATACACTATATTGAAAGGCATGTGAATCTGCATGCTAGAAGATTTGAAATCTAAAAATGTCCATCGAGGTATTTTGAGTGGAACCTTGCGGAATCGGACACCAGTGGCCCCCCTGGCTGGGCAACACTGCCGAGAGAGCATGCATGATTCAGACATCGCGACGGCATGCCATGTTCGAGAATCAGGGCGGATGAGATGTTTTGCTGTTGCTTTGCTTTTGTGCCTGTATCTGTCTGTGGTTGTTTGTTTGTTTGAGTGTGTGCGATAGCACGTGCTGAACTCCTCCATATTCCATACGATGCGAGCAACCATCCCAATAGCTGTTTCTCGCCGAGAACCCAATCCGTTGTTAGTTCAAAAGAAGCTAGCTCGTGGAGACAGAGTACGAGCAGAGTTGGCAATCAGGAATGGGAGTATCAACAAAAAGTTGAACGTTTGCTGTAGAAAACACTGCCCAGTGCATGTGCCAAAGCTCCCAAAAAAGCTCCCAGCTTTCCTTTCCTTTCCTTTCCTTGTCATGTTTCATCGACTAACAGAGTGAGATTGAGCTCTCCTGGACGCTAAGTTTAGTCGCAGGCCGCGGGCCGCACGCAGCAACCATGTCAGTTTCAGCTGTCAAGGCCACGTGAGTGGAAAATCGTCATGTGCGAGTTTCAGTTTGCAGAAGCCAAGCCGAAGTGCAAAGTCCAGCGAATTGCGAAAGTCGTAACTCGTTGTTTCTGCCGCTCCGACATTCTCTTGCTGTGTGATTCCTTTGGTCTGATACGGCGGATTGGACTCTGCGCCATTGGTGGATCATCTCATGCAGGTTTTGCAGCTGCGCCATTCCCAGTATCTCTTCGGTGCCTAAAATCATCACCTCACTGTCGTCTTTCCCTACCTCCACTGATTCGATGGTTTCGCCAATGACGTGCGTGTGTGTGTGTGTGTGTGTGTGTGTGTGTGTGTGTGTGTGTGTGTGTGTGTGTGTGTGTGTGTGTGTGTGTGTGTGTGTGCACCCTGATTAAAAGCTAAGGGTTTTGGAAAGTCTCTGAGGCTTGGCCGGACATTTCGTATAGAAGACTGACGGTGAATGTGTTTTATGCAGGGGGGCAAGGGCTCCAGTGACTAGCCTTGCCCAACGAAGCCAAGTCATTGGAGTGGATGCAGTGGCTGATCACCACTGTGTACCTGCAATCGAAAGGCCACCCCAAAGTACCCTTAAAGTTGTTTGCTGCCACAGTGGCCGGCAGATGGATGGATCAGGTTTTTCGTGTAAGGCCACAATTTCGTCACCATGCATAAGATCTTCGGACAGGGAAGCCAGTGAGAGTTTACTCTCTTATCTCCGTGTGTGGCCTTGTTGCCAATCGCAGTTATCCCGCGAGGGAGCTGTACGGGTCGTTGTGCGACTCATCATGGTACCATGGAGGCCCAATAACCTGGCAGGTTGGGTCGAGAGGCCTAGTGCCACGCATGGAGCCCACTAGACCGCTCTCGAGCGATGAGTAACTTTCAGGTGGATGGGCAACAGAGGGCTAGTCCCAAGAGCAAGAATGGTGGGTCTTAGCACCCGTGTGGCCCGAGGTGGGGCCTAATGGAGGTCCTCCGGACCGCAATAGAGGCCTTAGCGCCAATGCAATTTTATGGATGGATTGGCGATGCTCGGCTCCTTATTCAGCCTTAACCTTTTCATTTTTTTTTAGTTGCTAGGATCTGTGTGACGCCATGTCTTCTTTCACTTTCCCGTTGTCGGAAGTACCGCATGTTTGGGGCCGTCCCCTCTGACCGAGGGGCGTGTGTGTGTGTGTGTGCACCCTGATTCTAAGCTAAGGGTTTTGGAAAGTCTCTGAGGCTTGGCCGGACATTTCGTATAGACGCCTGACGGTGAATGTGTTTTATGCAGGGGGGCAAGGGCTCCAGTGACTAGCCTTGCCCAACGAAGCCAAGTCATTGGAGTGGATGCAGTGGCTGATCACCACTGTGTACCTGCAATCGAAAGGCCACCCCAAAGTACCCTTAAAGTTGTTTGCTGCCACAGTGGCCGGCAGATGGATGGATCAGGTTTTTCGTGTAAGGCCACAATTTCGTCACCATGCATAAGATCTTCGGACAGGGAAGCCAGTGAGAGTTTACTCTCTTATCTCCGTGTGTGTGTGTGTGTGTGCGTGTGCGTGCGTATCAGGTGAGGACTGGGTAGACTCTGACCTGCAGGCTGGCTGGGGTGCTGCTTATTGAAGACGGATTGGTCTGCACAATCACGCAAACACACATGACTTCAAACTGGATTTAACAGGCACGTGCCATTTGATGCACGTTTTTCATCAGCCATACACCCAGCAGCCAGCCAAAGCGAATTCTTTCTGGAGTCATGTTATCTCGGCCTTCCAATATACTTGCCAAATGTCGCTAAGGGCCGCCGCGGTGCCACTGATCAGTCATTGAGTCAATGAGCTCGTCCATATCTGGACATCTGGCGAAAGCATGCGGAAGCCATTGACAGAATGACTGAGTCTCAACGTTTGTGATCCGGAAACCAGAGAAACACCTGTGGAAGCACTTCTTCTGATGTATTCTGCTAGACTCATTGCTGCTTCGTGGCTCGAGTTTCAATGAGCATGAGAGATCATGCAGCACCGAGCTGAGTCACGGAGTCACAGAGTGTCGCACATAACAACAAGCATCAAGCTTCCTGCATTTGGTTGGACGCTGAACATCCACTACGTCGGAAGCTGGTGCTGGGCCCACAGAGCTGGCGTCGCTGCAGCACCCATCGATTCGCATTGTCAGGGAAGCTGAATGAGCTACTTGAACCCGGCCACACTGGGGTAAAGGCCATCAGGCAAGAAGAAGGTCATCAGCTAGTTTTTCAAGAAGTTTCCCCACATGCCACAGGCTTGTGCCATCCGTTGTCTATGTTGCCACAGATTGCAAGCAAGCTGCTGCCTCAGCCGCCTCAGGGTCCAGACAAGGCGTTCAAAACGTACAATTCACGATGCTGATCGCTACAGTGCGGTGCATTACAGTTCGTTGTAGTTCATTGCGTGCCAATGAGCGAACAGCCGCTGAAGTCACTTAAGTCCTCTGCTCAGGGCTTGGTACCATGGCTATGATGCATTCCGAAAGGCTGTGCTAATGCTGGGTGTGTCTCGTTGGTGTGACTTTCAAGCTGGACTTCAGCATACTGCTACCATTGTTGGACCTGAGAGGTTCCCGCAGATCTTTCTGAGGCCGATGCGTTTTTGGCCTGTCGCGTTCTCGCGTGGTAACGCTTTCATCCGCTTTCTTGCTTCTACTTCCTTCCACAGGCCACAACAACTGGTGCCATCATGACGGTGGTGGCATTGGTCACATGCGTTGTTCTGTTCTGTTGCGAGGCCGAGGGGACGAAGCTAGTGTGCCTGAGAAAACTACCGCAGCTACAGGGGGGGGAGCACAGAAACATGCACCGAGACTAGCCTGTTGAGCTGCTGACGCCTTATCTGTTGCTTTGCCAGACATCGGCCTTTCTAACCGATGCTCCAACCTCTAGAATTGTGGCTTGGCTGCCCTTGGATTGAGGGTGCTTTGTTGGCCTCTCACAGCACCAAGTCTTGCAGAGTACCCGAGCGCAGGTTGTTGACAGCAACCAGGCTTGGCGATCGGTCTGAATCCAGCTTGGCTCAGCAGCCATGCATAGCTGTGCATAGCCATGCCTTCCAGACTGGAACAGCCATTGGTGCAGGATGAGCTGTTGACGATAAATTTTGACGTGACCATGCTGGACGTTGCCTGCAGCCACTTGACAGTAGGCCTGCGCGTACACTTCCTGAAGCCATCTATGTCTGTTGCTTGTAGGTATTCGCATGTTTTCTTTGAGTTCCTTCGCGCGACGCGGCCGACTGAGCAGGAATCAAAATGAACAATGCCAGTTTTGAAGAAATCACTTGCGTCTGCGAGGCCAATCCGTCTGTCAGTATGTGATAATTAGTGGAGTGGTGGTTGGCAAATACGGCCATGACTGCCTGATCGGTATCCGCACACCGGTATCTGCAAACTTCAACCTTTTCGTTCCCTGAAGGCTAAACGGAAGAGTTTGTTGTGTTTGTCGTGTTCCTCAACGGGAGAGTCCATGAACTACAAAGGCTAACTCATATGTGCCAACGGGGAGATCTGTTCTGCAAACCTTAATAAAGCCGGATCGCTAAATCCTAGTTGTCAGAGTCGAACTCTCGTGGGGAGTTTTAGTAGTCCCACGGGGCCTGATTTATATTCGGGAAGTTAGGAGTTTTTCGAACGCTTTCGAAAGATCTTTCGAACGCTTTCGGACGCTTGCTTTCGCACGCTTGTGAACGCTTCGTGAGCACAAAACGCGCGATGTGCAGCAACTCCCCAGGCTCCGCATTCGGGAAAAAGCTTGGCCCGTTGCCGAGTGAGACTCCCACCATATCAACCCGAAGTCCCAATGCAAGGCTGATTCGCCTTCCGTCGTATTCCCACACAAAGGTTCCTTGCTAAACGTTGGTTGCAATCTAGAGGCAGATTCCCTAAATTCTTGTAGCTCATTCTTGTTATGTAGATTCCAGCTTGTAGATCAGCCCGCATATGAGAGATGTCCTGAAGACAGCAACGAAAAAGCGCACGAGATCATCATTGCATGTGGAATTCGCGACTGACCTTGGAATTGTAAGGCTTGGGGCCATACGAGCCTTTGCAGGAGTCGTTGTAGGTTGATCTGTGAGTTCCTGTGCCGGCGACGTGAGCGAATACTTCGGCATAATGTCACAACATTTGTGTATTCCTTGTTCGGCTCTGGGTCATACGACGATTGTTTTGTCTTCGTTCGAAGGTGCGAGTTTCTAACAGCCCGAGAGGAAATGCGAGACATTCTGGCAGATAAGCAGTGCTCGTCAACCGGGGTCTAGGTCCACATCCCATCCTTTACTCCAATCCCATCCTGTACTCCACGGACAATCCTGGGTATCCTTCAAAACAGCAGCAAGAGTCATTAAGAGGCACTAGCGCATTGGATCGGCCATTGGCGGTGGAAGCAAGTCCGCCGGCTTGAAAGGGAATTCCGTGCCGGAAGTCTCCACCCAGAAGTGACCTGAGCAGATGACCAGTGTTGGACATTGGACATCCTCATCCTCAACCCAGCCAACTTAGAGCCGCATGTGCGGAATAGAACTTTCTGTGTCGAAGAAACTGTAGGTCAATGTTTGTGCATAAAGAAACTAGCAACTGGTAGCTTCCGATGTCACACTAGCAAACATCCGCCCACACAGAAGCAGCACCACAAGACACAACCAGAGTCGTCACAGCCATTGCGGATGAAGAAACAACGCATCATGCCCAAGAGTGAGAAGGCAACGCCCACGTCCACGCTGGAACATCTCCCCAAGTGTAGAGAACATGTGACTAGGGAGTAGGGAGGACACGGACAGAGTGGAGAATGATCTAGCATCGCATCCTGTGAAGGTGTTTGGGATGCTTTCGGCACGGAGCGCTTCAACATCACCAAGAATGTGCAAAAACAGCGTGCTGTGCTGAGTTGCGGAGTTGTTCTTTGAGTTCTGCTTTGTGAAATCTCGAAGATCCGTCGCATCGCTTGGCTAGGCGTTGATCACAAGGGTGCTCGAAAGGGGCAGCCCTACAAGGAGGTTCGGCAACCAACGGGTTGACAGGGGTTGCAATGGGGTTGCAGCAGGTTCTGCCCTCTTTGTGCCTTCAGGAAGAACTCCTGGAACTAGAGTTCAGTGACCGCAGCTTCACTGCGGAGGTGTTTGGCCCTTAAACATGGAGCCTTCCGAGATGTGACGAGAAGTGGCTCAGGAGCTTGCAGAGCTGGACTCCGACTGGGGTTCATCCAGTGACCATTTTAAGTCTTCGCCTCAGATGTGATGTCCGTCAGACCGTCAGACGTCACCCACCCAAAGTTCTTAAAGACACAATCGGCGCTTGGCTTGGTCTGGCCTTGGAGTGGGTAGTGGTGGTAAGGGTGGCCGTGGCGGTAGCGGTGGTAAGGGTGGTAGCGGCGGTAGTGGCGGTGGTAGCAGTGGCAGAGGTGGTGGTGGGGGTGGCAGTCCACAGGCACAACGACTTCCAAGCCGTTGTCGATGCGCATGACTTCACGATGATCAACTTCTACGCCGATTGGTGGGGACCAGTGTGCATTTTCTCGACAGTTTCAAGCTGCTCATGACCAGGTGCAGCCACTGCCGGGACTTTGCCACTACATGGTTCGATTTCGAGAAGTCGGTGAATGAGTAGACAGCTGAAAGTCCTGGAGTCTTGTGAGTCTTTTGGTGTCATTGGGTTATGCCGGCGATGACGCCATCAGACTTAGCGAAGGCACAGAGTCACAGCCAAAGATGCTGATGGTCAGCAGGCGGGTATTCGATCCTTGTCTGCATGGGCTGCTCCATCTGCTGTACACACATATCACATGTTCGTTGGCCTGTATTGCCTGCTAAGACCTCCTTCGACTGAACTGCGTGGATTTTCAGGCTCTCAAGCAAGAGTTCCTCAGTGACTTTAGCAGATCTTCTACGGCAGTAAATGCTTAAATGCCAGGACACGTGCAGAGAACAGATGATTCGTTTCTTCCCGGCAGTCCGATTGTGCCTTTTGTTGATGGCTGTTTGTCTTTCTGGCAGCATGTCGTTCGAATACATGTTTGCCTGGAATTGCGCAGGTACCGCAGAGGTGCCAAGAAAGGTGAGTTCGAGGAGTCAGCGCCTGAGATGTAGTGGACACATTCCATTGGTAGCTGCTCTTTTCTTCATGTCCTGCTCGTTTGGGTCGTTTTAACAGACTCCAACTCGGCACCTCTTCGTAGGCGCTGTAAATATTGGCCGTCAATACCATTAGCCTTATACCATATTGCGCATCGGCTGGGCTACTATGCCCCGTCAATGTTCGCCATCTTCTCCACTCCGCCTCACTCTGCTTCAAATCGTTTGCTCAAGAACCAGGAGATCATGTCGGGAATGACCCTAAATTTCTGATCTTGTGCCAAGAGGCCATACAAAAGCATCTCGGTCTGGAAGGACATAGTGTGGTCGCTGATGAATGTTTCAATGTCCTGTTCCGTCACCCTTTCCTCTGCCAAAAAATCGTGGCCACAACCGGTATCCATGATGAACTTCAGCTTCGTTCTTATCATTCTTGGTTGTACCATACACATTTGAGGATCGTCCTTGAGAACTTTACGGCTTTGCTCTGTACCCAACCATTCCTCGATGAACGCACCTTCCTTGTCGTTGAACCTGAACTCTGCACACGACGGCACTTCTGCAGTGTGGAGCACAGGGTTTTCTCCCAAACGTGGTTTTCCCTGTGCCCCCAGTTTCTGCCGCACAGCAGATCATCATGATCTGCTTCTACTGGGACACTGGGGTAGTTGTATTTTCGAGTGCGCTGTGCGGAGTCAAGCTCGACGACCATCGCCGTGCCCGGAATCTGGACCCTCGTGAAGATTTTCTTGCTGTCGAGGTTCAACATCTCATGCATCATCTGAGCCTTTGCTCTAGCTTTGTGTCGCTCAAACTCAATCTCAGCCCTGCTTAGCCAAGAAACAACGGCGTTGCGGGCCAGCACAGCACTGCATGTTCAGGCATGTGATTGTTGCCGGATTGTGTTCAGACCAGGTATACTGGCGAGCGCAATGCAGATGGGATGACGAGCACTTCTGCTGTCATGATACTGGTTCGTGACGAGAGTGTTGCGTGGTAAAGATGGTAAAGTGTGGCACAAAGATCAGAATGTATTCAAGGATGGATGCAATCAATCGTTTCCAAGCGCCACCTGCATACCGGCGCGACGTGCTCTCCTCCAGCTGGGTGTGTCGCGGCGTGTCTCTTCCTTTTCTTCCTCTTCCTGAGACGTGCGCTCGCACTCCGGAGGCTTTGCAATCGTGCTGTGGTAAAGTTTGCTAAAGGTACCACAGCATCTTCTCAGAGGGCTGTCGCGTCTCTGGGTTTGTCAACGTGGTTGCAACCTTGGTCTGCATGCTCTGCTGCATTCAACCTGCTTGCTCCATGAAAGAAGAACTTTTTGATTCTTCCGTTTCCATGACGACACTACTGAAGGCGCGAGTACCTGGCACGGTCCACTTCCAGGCACTGAGCTTGCATGCCAGCTGGCAACAACTTTAACCCGCCTGCTCTTGCATTGTGGCCGTGAGCATGGGAAACTAGTTGCCAACTGTTGTGTAAGTACTTCAAGCACGTTCTGCGCTTGCAGCCACGTGCTGCCGGGAGGTTGGCCAGTCAAAAGAGCATGACATCAATCCTGCTTTCACCAATGCCCCTCGCTTGCCCGTGGTTTTTGGGGTACTTGGTTTTTGGCACTCGTTTTTGTAATGTCCCTTGAAGGTATCTCATACAGTGCATCACTTCAGCTTCGGAGAGGTGTGACTGCATGCTGTGCCGGGCTGACTTGCATGTTGACAGACGCAAATTGAGCGGCACAGGCCCCGCGAGGACTGAAGGCTTCCTTGCCTTCACAGCACCTCCTGCATCATTAGCCGGGAAGAGCGCTTAATTTCGGGGCTTGTGGTCCATTGATGTCCATTGCAAGATACCGAGCGCACGTCAACCCGCTGGATGGCCAGACCTTTTCGGTGGCGTCGGACTCATGAGCTGCTCTCGAAAGCAACACAAAACCAAAACCTAGCCATTACGACTTTGCTGTGACGTGTTAATTGCACGGTCTGAGGACAAGTTTCACAAAGCTCCGAGTCACTTCATCAAGGCCCTTGGTCAATCCACCGCGTGGGTAAAGCATGTTTGAAGAGAATGACTCCCATGAAAGGTAGTACACACAAGATTCGAAGACTCGGACCTCCGCAGCTATCAGCAGACCCATCAATGGCGTCCACCACAGCTTCTCTTTTTAATGCATGAGCTGCAGCTCTAGCAACGCACAACACATGGCTTTGTCGTCATGTGTCGTTGATGGATGACTGCGGGGTACTGGTAGACTTCTGCGCGCATGCCCTAAGAGCCGAGCAGGCAGCATTGCCACGAGTTGCGTATTCATGTTGCCTGAATGCACCCTTCGCCTAGCCACTGCACCTCCAGCCACCGGTAATTGCCCAGTGCAAGCTTGTTGAAGTGCATCTTCGCGTGGATTTAATTACACGTAAGGAGCGTGCGGACGTTGCAGCGCGGCACAACTCCGCAGGCCAGGCTCTCGTTTGTTTGAAGAGAGCGCCCGAGCACATGTTCTTTTTGTCCTTGTTTGCTTAGCTTGCTTAGTCGGGTGCACAATGGGCAGTGCGATGCGCAGGCGAAGTTCTCATTCGATTTGTCACCGGTAGAGGCAGGCCTCGCCTCAGCGACTTGGAGTTTCAGCACTTGGCTCGACGTGTCAGGTGGTTATAGGGAAAGCCGACCGCAGGTGGTGCGCTGTGCACTGACATGGGGAACATGATGGTACTGTGACTGAAGTGATCCTTGCAATCTTCTTGACGTATATTTGGCGCTGCAAGAAGGTACGATTACATCACGCAGATATTTGCAATCACCGGTGGAGTCAGGGCCCTTTTGGAACGTGAAGCGATTATGCTGAGTTGAATATTGTCACCTGCTGACTATTTCTCGCAGGCCTTCACAGTGATGTCTCTTGCTGCTGGCTTTCTGAAAGCTAGCAGCGTTCACGTCAAGAGTGAGCCCCCGCGATGGTTTTGTCATGTTTCGCAGCAGCAAAGCAGCAAAGTTCTTGGAAGGTATGCTAGACAAGCTCAGCTGATGCAAGGCACAGTGCAGTCCCGCCGGCGTTACGCAAGCCGCTCAGACATGTTGAGAGCAAGTGTGGTGAAGGCGATCCAAGTGACGTTCCAGAAAACTGGCGGAGCTCCAGGATTCTGGAGGACTCTTGCTATGTGGCAACATACGACAGCACAGCTGCAACAGCTCTTCCATGAGTACAGTGAGTACGCGAAATGTTCGTGTGAAGTGGGGTCAGGCAAGGAGGAGGCAGACTTTCGAGAAGTGCAGAAGATGAGGCCCAGCAAATGTACAGTACAGGCATGCACTGGGAGCACTGCAGTTTCAAGCGTGGGCCCTAAACCTCTTCAGGCCTTCCACACCTCATGCATCCGCCAGCCTGTCGAGCCTACCTTTCGGGCGAAACATCCAACTCAAGTGCTTGTTGGACTTGGATGAGGTCGTTCAGCATTCGAAACCAGGGATGCAGGATGATGCAGCTAGTTCGCTTGTCTTCTTGGCATTCAACGCTTCTTAATCTGTCGTAACACAAACTGAGCATGTTTTCTTTTACCTGCATCTGTATACATCGGGCGACCCGTCATGACCCGCCTGACAGAGGGTAGGCTGATGCGCCTGCAAATCGGCCTAAGCCCAGGCACATAAGCCCTTTCTCGTAGCCGGCAAAAGGTGGTAAGCGTAATGGACCGCATGGTCAATAGGAGTCGGAGTGGGGGTCCATAGGGTGGCCCAAAAGCAACCCAAAGGGTTTGCTGTATTGTAGAAAAAAATGGGAGGCGCATTTGACAGGGCACTTGACACACTACCAGAAATCGTACGGCCCGAGGCCTCGACGGATACAGTAGGTCGTATGAATCAGGGTGGTAAAGTTTGTACCAGTGTGAAGCGTGCTGTCGGAGGGGAGTGACGACATGCCGGGTGCTGACTTCCGATTTTTCGGGTCTTGGACTGGTCTTGGCGTGGGTAGGTGATTGCAAGCTAACAGCTAACATGAGTTCGACTGAGCTTGTGATGGCAAGGCAGAGCAAGACGCGGAACAAGGCGCAAAGATGAGCAAAGCAAAGCAAGGCCCAGGCCATGAGATGCCTCTGCCGCCTCTGCCTCACAGAGAGTCCAGAGCGACTCGCCGCACTCGCCTCGGCGAATACAAAATCGATGCCTGCAACTGTTTTCTTGGCACGCTGCATGTTCCTAAGACTTCCCCTAAAGTCCCGGCTTTCAGCAACACTTTTCCAGCATCCAAAGCATGAGGGCCGGAGCGAAACTTATGTGTGATTCCTGCAATACCACAACTGAGGTGGGTGGGAGGGCCAGTGTTTTGAACGTAAACGCTCACATCCGTGGCCAGCCCAAGCAGTGTGCGCCCACAACCACCATCTGGCATGTGCGAAGCTGCACCCGACGGCCTTCCCGAGCTCAACAGCCAAAGCTCAAGCAAGCACGATATGAAACCTGCACGTTGAACAAGTCACAACGGACGCATAAATCCTGGAAAAGCTTGCGTCGGCTCTGGGCTTGTGACTGATCTCGTTGATGTGGACCCGAACTGCGCGCCCCGCGCCACCACGTTTTCTTGCATTTTGCTGCATTGTTGCTATGTCCAAGCGAACCGAACCTAGGTCGAGATGCTGAGATACTCGACGCAGTCCAAGCGTCAATATGTCATCGTTGTAGCCGCGTGATAGGCAAGTCTGCTATCATACGTCCTGGCCTCCTGGCATAAGACTCACATGAGTTGCTTCCATTCCTTCACCAACTTCGTTTAACGTCAAAGTGCGCTTGCCGCCTGCAGTCCTGTCAGCAGGCATCACTTCTGGAGCCACAGTGTGTCTGACATCTGAAGGTTTCAGGGTTGGCCTTGCTATGCCCTTGCTCCAAAGATCTGTGCTACAGGCAAAGATGTCCGGTGAGAGGATCGCAGGATTGCAGGTGGGCGAGCAGGTTTGTCTTTGAATGAAGTGAACCGTTGGTTCCTGCCTCCTACCATCCCAAGTAGTCGAACTAAGTACCTTGTACCTCGACTTTAACATCGAAGCTCGCGAACCTTGCACGGCTGCCACACCACGTCACACCGCCTCATCGTTCACGCTCGCAAACTCGGCAGCGGATCGCAAGCGGTGTTGGAGTGATCGCAACCACGCTGACCATACGAGAACAGCGCTGGCAGGTGAATGGGTTCATCCGGCATTCGCAGCGAGCGTGGGTCAGAATCGTGCCTGAGGATGTCCGCACACTCGGCGGTTCATTCTGCTCACATGCGCTGAGCCTTGATTCTTGATCCTACGCGACTCGTCCAGAAGCTCGCTTGCTGCAGTGCTGCCCACCTTGCTGCGATCCGCTCGACGCTGGAGCTCCCCCTGCACCTGCGCCGCAGCTTTTCCCTCGTCTGCTCCTGCCAATATCGAGGCAACGTCGATGGGCGGTCCTCTCGACCTCGGTGGCTTAACTTGCCGAGGACCCTGCGGACCCTACCGCCGTCCCACTGAAGCCTGCGAAGTTACTTAGAAATTATTTCGGAGCATCAAACAGTTCCCAACCGTTGGTTTGGGGTTGTAGAAGATTTTGAAAATTGCCGCCTCGCCCGGGTCTGGAGTGCCCTTCCTCAGAGATTTTCGGAGTATGCCAAATGAGAGAGTCACGAGTGTCTGGGGTGCCCCCTTCACCCTTCCCCCCCCCGGCAGAAATGCCGGCAGAGAGTTTTGCCGACTATCCCTGGAGTGCCGTGGACCACTGAGTGCCCATCCACACAGAAGCCCGATCAGAATCCCGCAACAGAAGCATAACTGGTTGTCTCAACACGGCAGGGTGGAACCTTTGCCAGGTTCAGGCAAACCCGATGCACATCAAAACGCAACGAACGCATGTTGATCATGTTGTGTTTGCACCGCACGCCAAAGCACGCCGTGGAGGCAGCACAACTTGCAGCCCAATCAATCCATGTCACTGCCAAAAGCATTCGCAGCCAAACCCTTCAAGTCGTTGTCCCTGCATGCTGTGGGACTTCCTGACTTGCGACGGGGCATTTGCAAATCATGCATCCAATTCGTTGCTGTCCCCCATTTGATGGCAGGAGTTATGAGTTGCGACCGCACCCTCCAGATTAGCCCGCAAGTTCTGATGCCAACTGCAACGATGTAGCTGTTGCTGAAAGCAAACACGTATGCTCCGTGAAAATGGCCACCTCGCCAATTTTTAAAAGGACCTGCAGAGTCCACATCAGTGTTCTTCAAGCCGGCGATGTTTCTGTGGAGCGCCGCCAGCACTTGCTCGTGCTGATGTGAACGTTTAGTGGCTTCTCCGTACAAACCATCGTGCGCCTGTAACGACATGCGCAAAAACCCCACACGAGGTGCGGCCGCCTGACCCCCTTGCACGACGAGGATGGCTTGCTGCAGGGTGTCGGCCGAGCCTGGGACGGAGAGCCCACCGCACTCGCCCCCCAGTCGCCGATGGCCTCAAAAAGGCACATTCCAAGGTTGCTGCATCGTCTGCCAAGATTACCATTATTACCAAATCATCAGCATACAGTAGTAGTGCCACGCGAGAGGCGCTTGGGCCAGAGCCCAACGCAACGCCCGGACATACTGCACGAACAGCATCGGCAATACCATTGAACAAGATGTTGAAGAGCAGCGGGCCAAGGACGCTCCCTTGATGCAGCCCGGCCGTTTTTGCCCAAGGCTGCGAAGTCAGACCGTTCACACAGACTTGAGCTGTGGTTTCACAGAGGAGGTCTGCAATACCGACCACATCGATCTCCGCAAGCCTAAGTAAAACCGCAGCCCTCCACGCAACGTCAAAAGCTTTGCGTGCATCAACGAAGGCACAGAAGGTATTCTTCCTGGCACGCGCCCAACGAAGACCGGCTTGACACTCATCGAGTTGTGGGTCAACCCTGGGAAGCAGCTGTGCCAGCAACAGACGCTCAAAGATTTTGAGGCTGCAACAAAGGAGGCTGATGGGACGACAATTATTGAATCAGCAGAGCGCCTTTGTGTAGCGGACTCCCACGGGCTGAACGCCAAATCGACGGGCCGGAGAGAGCATGTCCCGCCTCAGCGTTGCAGCGCGGGACGTCATGCCTGAAGATTCTTTTGACGAACCAGATGATGACACTGTCGTCGTTTCTGGCGAAAGGTTTGGGCACTGGACGTCTGCTCACGTCGCCAATGTCGCCAAGCCGCATTGCGAGCAACAAGGAGTTCTATCCCGCTATTCCGGCCGCGGACGCCGGCTGCCGCCAGAAGGACAAGAAGCGTGGGGCTCTGCGCCTTGCCCAACCATAGCGACAAATTCAGCATACGGTAGGTCCAGTGCGCCACGCCTTTCACACAGCGAGTTTGGGATATCCCAAACAAACAATTTCAGCGCCGTCAGTTTGGGATGTTTGGGGTGTTTGGGATATCAGAAGGGCCATCATACTGAGCAAACCCGCCGCAGAATTCCAATCCGCAGGAGCACCGCGTATACAAATGGTGGCAGACGAAGTGCGCGACCAACACGCGGTGCCGGTTCGAAGAAACGCGTTCTTGGGACCAGACGGCATAACGCGATGTTCATGAGCGGGCGCATCTGCGTCACCATATGCAGGCAAGGATGGCGACCAACCACCGTGATTTCGAACGTGAGTTGCCTCAGCATATGACACTGAAGCCAAGCGGTAACCGCCAAAAACCTGCAACGCAAAATCTTGCGGCTGATTCGGGATGTGGTGACGATCAACGCGCTCGGAAGGATGACCCCCAGTGTGGCATCCAGATCTGGCACTTGGATATTGCGCTGCGGCAGCATCACCGGTCTGGTTGAAAATCTGCAACAACTCGGCGTATGCGCGACTGAGAACGGTAGCGAGGTGATGACACGCGCTTGCAAACCAAGGGATCGCCCCAGCCCAAGCCTCTGCAGCTTCAGGCTGTAAAGCTGCCCAGCGCGCAAAAGCCACGGGCAATATAGGAGTGAGCTTGTCGACTCATCGTTGACGAGCGGGGGCAATCCGGAGAAGTAAGTGGTCTCATTGGCATTTTGATCCAAGGGGCGGGGGGGGGGGGCGCCCAACATGCACAGGCGCATTGTCTTGCGGATCTTCAAGGGGCAAGGAGACCACACATCCATGTAAAGGTTCTGTGCGCAAAGTCAGTACTCAAGCGACACCGTTGATGGCGTAGAGGAAGTAAGACCTGCATGCCCGTAGGCGGCCTTTTGGAGGAGCAGGCAAAGAACGCAACTTTACATGGTGTCAAACTGCAATTGAGCATGACGTCACGTCAATGTTAGAATCATTCTAAACATCGACGGCTTTTGACGAATCATCTTTGTTCAATTTTCTCAATGCTGTACAAGATCAATGAATGCACCCCGGGCGACGTCAAAGAAATGTGTCACGTACTCAGTCCAACAGGTATTTCCATTGAAACGCGCAAAGTCGAGTCATCGTTGACGAGCGGGGGCAATCCGGAGAAGTAAGTGGTCTCATTGGCATTTGGATCCAAGTGGGGGAGGGGGGGCGCCCAACATGCACAGGCGCATTGTCTTGCGGATCTTAGCGCAGACCAGCGGGCTACCCACGTGGAAGTGGCGCTGGCACGGAGCTCTGGGGGCACCTCACCGGCACCGGGCGAGCAGCCGGAGGAAGTTCGCTGCTTCCTTGCTCCACCGCCCGCCGACCTAGAGTGCGAGGACGACGAGCCGGCAACGTGGGAAGTTGAGGAGCTCCGGGTAGATGCGTTCATTGGCTCGGCGGGCGGTGAGGAGGGCTGTCTCGAGTGCGCATCCGCCCGGCCCTCGTGGTGGCGCACGCCGAGCTCGGGCGACGTACTGACCCATTTGCATTTTTGGATGACACGTATGTGTCGTGCGAGCCAGCAGACGAGTGTGCCGCCTTGCGCACGGAGCTCCACTCCTTGCCGCCCGATATAGATTTCCTCGTCTCCGGCAGGAGCGAAGATGAGCGAAGTGTTCAACAGGCAAAGGCGCTCAGCCACGGTCGCTTGCTCGACCAATTCCCCAGCTTGCCTGACCTTCCGTCTGCGAGCCGCTGCTGCCGCTCATGTGTGCCGCTCCACGCTGTAACAATCTTCTCCGGTCCTTGGCGCCCTCATTGGCACCGTCCTTGACAGACGAATTTGCACGCGCGCACACCATGAAGGAGTCGCGCGCTGCCTGCTGACCGCCTGGCCACATGATGCCCAATTGTGCCGTTGGCTTGGGATCGCATGCGCGTCTCCACGACCGTCCCCACGAGACGACCCAGACGCGGCGAAACGTCGCCGCGCGGTGTTCCGCGCGATGGCTCAAATGCAGCTCGCGCCTGCTACTGCCCTTGAAGAGTCAGCTGTGCACGTTCCCTGCCCTAACATGCTAACCGACGATGGCTCCATAGGCTCCCCCTCAGTCCGGCCGCGAGCCCACGCTAGTCTGGTCGCTCTGGCGAGGCGGCCCCAACGCTGGTCGAAGAAGCCCATCCCCGCCAAGAGGTCGTCCACCTGCGCTCCCATGGCAGGATGACCGTCCACCGAGCACCCCGCCGGGTGACCGTAACTCATGGTTGTTCGTGCCATTGTTACGTGCCGCGGCGACACACGCCGCCGGGTGGATCCGGCCAGCCTTGTGCGCGTGCTGCACGGCGCAATGGCGTTCAAGGCGCAAGAGAGCGGGGCTGTCTTCGCGACGGCGGCGCAGGAACTGCCAGACGCTCCCCTCCCCTTCGCCGCAGTTCATGGCCTCCGACTCCGACGGCTATGTGTCCGCAGCCGCCCAAGCGACAATGCTGGAAGCCTATGCGGCAGGGGCGGCGGCGGCTGAGACGCAGGCCAACGATCTCCGCGCAGGCCCTCACCGGGATAGTTTTTTTTTCGCTTTCACCCGTTCGGGTCCACGTGAAACATTACAACCACTGGCACTAGCTGGTCCCAGCCAGTGGGAACAGCTCGATCCCGTAGACCTAACAGAAAACGCATACCAAAATGCACGGAATGCACCAAACGCAATGCACGCGCACCATTCGCATTGTTACATTGCAAAATGCACAACTCGACATGATGAAAACACTGTACTACGCGCTACTCCGTTCGCAGGGGGGGCCACACGCAGGAGCATGGCTCACCGTCATCCCTAGCGAGGCTGCCACGACGCTGTCGTCACATGCCATGCAGTTGGCCTCACGCCGGCGCTTGCGCATGCCCTTACGGACGTTGCGGCCCAGCCAGGCTGCGGCGGGCAAGTGGACCACTTCGGTGACCACGCCCTGGCCTGTTTGCGTATCGGCCTGCTCGCACGGCGAGCCAGGTTTGTGGAGCGCGCGTGGATCCGCGTCGCTCGCGAGGCGGTTGGGCCGGAGGGGCAGGTGGTCCCGCAGCAATGGCTAGCGCACACCACGACCCTCGGGGTAACTCTATGAAAGGCATGAATCTAACCTTGAAACTGTACCTTTAGGACGTACCATTCATCTCTCTCACTCTTGTTCCACAGCCTTGTTCACCCATCCACACGCCCCCATCACCAGATAATATTAAGTGAAGAGAGTACATTTTTCGTGCGTTTGTAAAGAGCGTAGTGATGCATGAAACGCACTAATAATGTATGAACGAAACAATGCACGCACGAAACTCGCGAACAATATGAGAATTCCTTGTCCGTTCGCGTAATAATATAATGTGTGCGTGCTTTTAACCCGGGTTTACTTCTTCATTTGCCCGGTAAATGAACTAAAAGACCATATAATTTTATATTAAATTGTACCCGTAGCCATTTTGGCTCAAGTCAGGGTCAGGACAGCTGCTAAAAAAGAAAAAGGAAATTAGTGCGAGGAAGGGGCTGTCCTTGGGCACCAGGGGTGCAGCTGGGAGGTCCTGGGTAGCTTCGCCTTGAGGGGGGGGGTTGTCCTTGGGCGCCGGAGTGCGCAGCTAGGAAGCCTCTTAGTACTTGGTAGCTTCGCCCATGGTCGCCGTGCTGCTCCGGCTCAACGACATCGAAGTCGAGGCAGAAAAGGTCGACGGACGTCTGGTCCTGACGCTCCAGGCGGTGCGCGAGCTCGGCGGCGAGGTGTTGCGACCCCAGCCCGCGTCCCCTGTTTCGCGGTCCAGCAGCCTGTCGCACGCCCGGCCCTCACTGCCCCGCGAGGCGCGCCGCTCCCGCAGCCCGCGCCCTTCTGCCAGCTCGGTGAGCGCCGGTCGTTCTCCCAGCCCCTCCCCGCCGCGCCGGCCCCCCACCCCACCGCCGGCACGGCCGCGTCGCGTGCCCGCCCAACACAGGCGACGCCCCACCCACCGCGGCACGCGCGGCGGCCGAAACCAAGCCCGCCAGCCGGCCCCCAGCCCTCCTGCTCCCGTCGCTGCAAGCCCTTTTGGGGGCCACACAAGCCCGCCGGCTTCCCCTTTCCGCCAAGCGGGGGCCATAGTCTCCCCTTTCCTCGGTGCCCTCGACCGGCCCTCGCCTTTCCTTTCGCAGCGGCCACCTCAGACGCTCCCACCGTGGTGGCGCCCTCACCCCCGTGCCCTGCACTCGGCCTAGGCGCCCCTGACCTGGCCTGCCACAGCCTTCGAAGGGATTCCGCGCGGCCCTCGGTACCTTTTTGTTGTGTGTTTCGCTCGGCTCTCCCGCCGGCGCCTCCGAGGCAGCCGCGGGGAGCGCACTGCCCCACCAGGCGACAGCCCGGGCCCCAGTTTTCAGCCAGCCATTGACAGTGCCTCAGGCCTTGCATCTTGGCCAGCGGCCGCCGGCGCCCCTGCGGCCGCCGCGGCTGCCGTCCTTGGTTTTTTTATCTGACGTTCCTGTCGGGCCCTTAGTTGTCCTTCTCCTGTGGCGTGCGACGGCCATTGGCGCCCCCGAGGCAGCCTCGGCTCCTTCGCTGAGTTGTAGGCCTGTCCTTCGGCCGCTCGGGCACTGCCTTGCATTTCTTGCCACTGGTTTGCGTTCTGCCCTACCCTCCCCCACAGGTCCGGGCGCCCCGCCGGCAGCCGCCTGCTACGCACCCGCCCCGCCAACTGCGGAGAAAAAAAAAAAAAAACAAACAAGCCAAAACAACAACCGCTGCTGCCCCCCCCAAAAAAATAAACAAACAACCTTGGCAGCATGTCTGGACGCTCGCGTGCCGACTCCCCATCGCGGACACGTGGTGCCATGGGCGAGGCCACGCCCCCAGCGCCCGTGCACACGGACCGGTTGTGTTGCGTTTGCCTCGACGAACTCGATCCTTCCGGCCTGCGCGAGCGCGCATGCGTCCCTTTCCCGACGTGCGCGGCGCATCACCTGCACTTGGGTTGCCTGGCCCAGTTCCGCGCCCAAGCCTCCGGCCCGGTGGACCTGCTGTGTCCGCTCTGCCGACATGGCCAATGCCCTGCCTGCAGCCCCACGGCATGGTCCCACCAACACGACGCCTGGCTGCGGGACACCTGTGCATTTTTTTTTTTCTTCTCGCTGTTCAGCCCAGGTCCGTGGTCTCGGGCCTAGTCCCCGTCTACCGGCAACAAGGGACAAAGGAGCAGAAAAGGCAACGCTTTCAGCGGGCCACTAAGCCAACAGCTCAGCAACCAGCACATTGCCTTCCTGTTTTTAGGGGCTCCCGGCAGCTGGTGTCCCGGGACTCCAACATGCCCAACCACACAACCACAGGCCAGACTGAGATTGGTGGAGGCTGAGGAGCCACGGAAGCACAGACGAGCTTCCCTTCTTTTATGAGAAAAAGAGAGAGAGAGAGAGAGAGAAAGAGAGAGAGGCAACCCTCAGCAAGGAGATGAGAAGCAACCTCCCCCGCCCCCTCAAAGGGAAAACAAATACTAAAAAGTAGCAGCCAAGGCACAATGCACGGATTTGCTTAGGATGGGATGGGACGTATCAAGGCCAAGGAACAGCGCACGGATTTGCTTAGGGTTGATTACGAGGCCTCAAAAAAAAAAAAAAAAAAGAAATGAAGAGAGAGAGAAACGACGGTCCATTAGCAACAGCTTGGGGGCCGGTCACGGAGACAAACAAAACTCAGCGGTTTTGCTTTTAGGACCAGCCAACAGGCAGCAAAACAGCAAGTAATCTCAATCCATCGATCAAGAAAAAGGAGGGCAGCCAAGGTACCACGCACAGTTTTGCTTGTAGGACCAGAGACAGCAGCAAAAAGAAGTGCTCGGTTTTGCTTTTAGGACTAGTTGAGGAAGCATCAACACAAGCAACAGGAATCCGAAGACTTGACTGATGCTCACCTGTCAGAGGATCTTTTAGCTTGCGCCGCGGCATTTGGATCTGGCGAGTTTTCCAGCAGCTTCTACCCAGGGAAGAACATCCACTGCTCTTGCCAGGTTGCTGCCCAGTGTGAGCCTGGTCTGCACGACACCTCGTCCCGACGCCAGCGCGCTTGTCTGGCGAGTCCACGGTGCGAGTCGCGCAGCCGGATTACGTGCTGCGCACTTTCACTTCGCTGGATGCCCCTGAGCCCGGACCGCCGCCGGGTGTTCGGCTGCTCTGTTGCCACCGCCTTGTGCCCTCGCGTCGCCCCAATGGGGACATCGCATTCCACCGGGCTCCCGACCGCGACATGGACTGGGCACCGATCGCGGTCCGCCACGACCAAGGCATCGCCTCCTGGCGCGGGGCGTGGCTTTGTCCGGCTTGTGGCCAGTGTCAGGACCTCGCAAGTCTCCACGTGCCGTCGTGTGCTGGGGCCAGCTGCGACCGATGCGGCGGTCGCATCCAATGGGTTCTCGATCGGACCACTGGTGAGTCCGGGCTCCAGTGCCCCGGTGAGTGCGCGCATCCTTTGCTGCCCCCCGGTGGAGCCGCCACGCCGCCCGACTCGCTGCCCGATTCGCCCATGTCCACGCCACGGCCGGCTCACGCCCCGACCCCCACCGACGCAGGCGGCGCTCCACCAGCCACGTGGCTTGACTGTGCGCCGCCGATCGGCGCCGTCGCCTCGCCCACCAACTCGTGGCTATACATCCCCCTTTTGCACGCCGCCTTGGGTGCACTCACGGCGCGTGCCATGGAGCTGTGGCGCGCTGACCCACGGACATCCCATTGGTGGGAAGATGCGCGCCGCGCCCTCGCCGCCTCCCACCCGGTGCCTGTCGCCATCCTCACTGATGCGCTCATCGCGTGTGCGTCCCAGCGCGGGGAACCCCTGCCTGCTGGGGCCCTGGCCGAAGCGGCCGCGCTCCCGTCCAGCGCACTCCTGCACTTGGGATGGGCCGTGCGACTCCTGGCCGCACCCGACGGTTACATCACCGCCGCGGGCCAGGAGGTCTGCCTGCAATTATTCGGGGGGTCATCCTTCGCCGCCCGGCTTGATCGCGCGTCCGACCTCTTCCGTCGCCAGCCCCACCCGCCCGTGCGCAGCATGCCCGACGCGCCGAACGGGCCACTCCCCCCGCAACCGCCGGGCCTGAACCAGCCGCCAGGCGTCGTTGACGATGCGCCGGTCGATGCGACCCCGCCCGCACCGGTTGCCGACCGCACCGACCAGGGCGCCGCGGGCACTCCTGACCCGGCCGCAGCAGAAGAAGATGCCTCGCTCGCTGCCGCTGCCTCCCGCGTGGCCGGGGCTGCGCGGGGGCGAGGTCGCCGCGGTAGCCGCGGCCGTGGCCAGCGGCCAGCTGCTTCTGCATGCGCCGAAGTTCCAGCGGAACCTGCTTCGGCCGAGCCTGCGCCCCTGCGTGGCACGCAGCGCGAGCGCCGTGCCGCCGTCGCCGAGGCCGGGCTTCGTGTCGGCCTCGCCTCGCTCGATGAGGTTTGTTTGGAGGAGACCTGTCGTGCACGCGTCCTGACGCTGCAGTCGCCTCCTGCAAGTATCCGTGGCGTCCTTCGCAGCGCCCTCCGTGTCGGCCTCGAGCTTGCCACGGACGCCTCGTCGCCTGACGGCCAGGCGCGAGGATGGAAGCTTTTCACCCTCGCCCCGCGCATGCTTCTCTATCGGGCCCCCGGGGAAAGCCGCATCCAGCCTAGCGAACTCGACCGCCGCTGCCAGCTCTTCCGCTCGGGTGACTGGCGTCGCCTGCTGGCCGAGGCTTCTGGGGCCATTACCGGGAGCACGCGGCCGCCCGCCTCTGACGAGCAGGCCCGAGCACACCGGGCGGCCGCCCTGGTCCATCTCGGGGAACTGTCTGCTGCAGCGCGCGCCCTTGTCGCCGAGCCATTAATTGGCGCCTGGCACGGACGACGCTCTCGCTGAGCTGCGGGACCCCACGCGGCGCCCACCCGAGGCATATGCGCCGTTGCCCCCCGAGATCCATGCCCTCCAGGCCCGCGAAGCATGTCCGCTGCCTCTGCAGTGCTTTGTCGCTTGCCTCCGTGGGGCGCGCCGCGGGTCTGCTGCCGGACCGTCGGGCATGACCAATGAGCATCTGCGCATCCTCCTTGATGATGAGGAGGATTCCCGCCTTCTGCACTCTGCCGCGCAGCAGCTCGCCGATGCTGCCGTCCCGCCGGCCGTTCTTGCCGGCCTGCGCGTCGGCCGCGTCGTCGCCTTGCGCAAGCCCGATGGCAGGGTGCGTGCCCTCGTGGTTGGGGATGTGCTGCGTCGCCTGGTGGAGCGCGCGCTGGCCCAGCACTTTGCTCCCGCCCTCGAGGCAGCGTGCCTGCCACACCAGTACGGCCTCAGCACGCGCGCCGGCGCTGAGGCTGTCATTCGCCTGCTGCGCGCAGCCACTGAAGCTGATGCCAGAGCCACAGTTCTCTCGGTCGCCTTCGACCATGTGGCGCGCCAGGCGATGTTGACGGCGCTGCTGGACAAGCCGGAGCTGCAGCCACTGCTGCCCTACGCGTGGCAATTCTATGCAGCTCCCAGCAGCTATACGTGGTACGACGGCTCAGGCACGGCTCACGAGGTGAGGCAGGCGGAGGGCGGGGAACAAGGCGACCCCCTCATGCCCGCCTTGTTCTCCTTGGCAATCCAGCCTGCGCTGCACCGGGTTCAGGGCCTTCTGCGGGATGGCGAGGCGATTTTTGCATTCTTGGACGACGTCTACATCGTCGCGCTGCCTGAGCGCGTGCAGCAATTGCATGACGCGATTGCTGAGGCCATGTGGGCCCACGCACGAGTGCAGCTCAACGCGGGCAAAACACGCCTCTGGAACGCCGCTGGCGAAGAGCCCCCGCAGCTCGCCGCCATTTGCCGGTCCCCAGACGACGGCGTTTGGGTTGGCGACTGGGCCCTGCCGGCGGACCACCAGGGCCTCACCGTCCTCGGCGCCCCGCTGGGGTCAGATGAGTTCGTCCGGCGCCAACTCCAAGCCAAGCGCGAGTCCCAGGACCGCCTGCTCCGGGGCATTCCGTCTGTCGCCGACCTGCAGGCCGCGTGGCTGCTCCTGCACTTCCGCGCATCGCCCCGCGCCAATTACCTCCTCCGCGTCCTGCCACCGCATCTCACCCAGGCCTTTGCGGCTGACCATGATGCTGCCATCGCGCGGTGCCTCTCCGCGCTTTTGGACTGCCCTCGGCGCAGCTGGCGCTGCGGTTTGGCGGCCTCGGCCTGCGGAGCGCTGAGGCCGACCGACACGCGGCGCACTGGGCCTCCTGGTGCGACACCTTGCCAGTCATCCACGCACGGGCCCCCACTGTAGCCGGCCGCCTGCTGCATGCCCTGCAGGGTGACGTCCCCCTGCCGTGCGCTGCAGCTGCAGCTCAGGCACGTGAGCACCTTCTTGCTCAGGGCTACCGCGCCCCCGCGTGGGCAGCCCTCGCCCACCCCCACGCGGTCCCCCCTGCCCGTGGCAACGGGGATGAGCCTGGCGATCATTTGAGGGGATGGCAGCGTTGTGCCGCCCGGGCCTGTGATGAGCGCGCGTGCGAGACGCATCTTGCTGACCTGACACCTGCGTCTCGCGCTCTGCTGCTCTCGCAGTCCGGGCCTCACTCCGCACGAGCCCTCAAGGTCGCGCCCACCCACGACGGCGTCGTCATTCCCAGTGCGCAATTTCGGGTGGTCCTGCTCCGACGCTTGCGACTCCCGCTCCCGCTGGCCCCTCGTGTGTGCAGCTGCCACGGACGCCTGGACGTTCTGGGAGACCACCGCAGCGCGTGCGCTACATCGGGGGTGCTCGCGACGCGAGCGCTGCCACTCGAATGGGCCGTCGCGAGGGTGTGCCGTGAGGCCGGAGCCCGTGTCGCCCGCAATGTCCGGGTCGCTGACATGAATGTCCAGGTCCCGGTCACGGACGGGCGGCGCATCGAGGTCGTCGCCAACGGCCTCCCACTGTGGCATGGGGCCCAACTCGCCCTCGACGCCACCATAGTCTCGCCGGTCACCCGCTCCGGCGACCCACACCCGCGCGCCGACACGCAGCCCGGCTGGGCCGTTGACAATGCCGCCAGACGCAAGCGACGCGACACCTACCCTGAGCTCACGCGGGCGCGTCGCTGCCGCCTCGTCGTCGTCGGCGTCGAGGTCGGCGGCCGCTTTGGCGCAGAGGCTGCGACGCTGCTGCGCCTGCTCGCCCGTCAGCGGGCCGCCGCCGTGCCGGCACACCTCCGACCGGCTGCGCAGGCCGCCTGGGTCGCACGGTGGGCTGCACTGCTCGCTGTCGCGTCCCAGCGCGCCTACGCGAGTTCCTTGCTCGAGCTCCCGCCCGCTGCCGAGCTGCACGGGGAGCAGGCAGCGCCGCCGCTGCATGAGCTCTTGGCTGACGGCCGCTGGGACCTCCCCACCCAGGCCAGCCGCCTGCCCGCCCGCCCACAGTAGGCCGCCCTGCCCAGCCCCCCGACGGAGACTCGCACCCGCAGGCGCAAAAAGTGTGCGGAAAAAAAAAAAGGAATGTAATGACGCACGAATTTAATAATAAAATTTGGGCTTTTATAAGGGCGGCTTCATTAATTATTTTGTAGCCGCCGGAATAATACTAATAAAGCGTGAATGAATAGAATGAATGAACGCGCAAGAATACTAAAAGTGTAGTGAATGAATGAGGGCGTTTTGTAATGAATAAGTGAAGCACGAAAACGCCTGAATGATTGAATTGAACGAAACAAGTGAGCCGACATGGAGGTGCCATCAGAATCCTTTTGTAGGAGCTCTTGGGATGCAAGAACCTGTTATCCTTGGCGAACCACAAATCAAGGGTTAACCGATGATTGGTCAAAAAAACTCCATTAATAGTGTAACCGCTGGACAAGTTGGCAGTTCACCGCACTCTTTGAGATCTTCCCACACAGTAAAACCGGCCTGTGAAGAAAGGGGAATGAGTGTCATGCGTCCCACACCCGGTTAATATTAATAAAGCGTGAACAATGTGAACGCAAAGAATAGAATAATAAGTGAACGAAGTGAACCCCAAAAACCCAATAAATGTACTATATTATAAGCGTACTGTGCGCATGAATTAGTGCATTTGTTGGGGCTTTTGGTATTGTTTTCGTGTTCTCCTTTATGACACCCTTTTTCCTCTATTATCTTCTTTCCTTCGCTAATGCACAGATCACGCGTTCATTTCATTCACTTGTATCTGTTGAGATTAGTTGAAAGAAGATAATAGTGTTTAAGGGGCGCATAACGGCGCCGCCCTACGGGCAGCGGAGCGACGCAAGGCGGCCACCTACCCGGAGCTCCGGCGCCAAGGGCCGCAGAAGCTCCTGGTGCTTGGCAGCGAGGTCGGAGGGCGCTTCAACAGCGACGCGCAGCAACTGGTGCGAGACCTGGTCCGACTGCGGTCCTACAGAGCGCCGCCAGCCCTGCGCGCCGCCGCGTCTTCCGGCTGGACGCGTCGCTGGTGGGGCATGCTGTCTGTCGCAGTGCAGCAGGCAGTCGCAAGCACTGCCCTTGGGCAGCCATGGCCCCAACCGCCGCAAGCCAACAGCATTGCGGGTCCGCCGGTCGACCGCGTTCTCGACCTCGCAGAGGCCGAGGGGCCGAGCCGCCTGCCGCTGCGACACCTGTCGTAGTCGCAGGGCCTCGTAGGCTCCGTAGGACCCCTTCACTGACCGGACACAAAGTGGGCAGGAGTAAAAGAGCGAAAGGGGAAAAAAAAAAAAAAAAGAGAATACAAGGAGCGCCCATTTCGTTCACATCCTATTTTTTAATTCACGCGTTCGTTCATTTCTTTCACTCGCTTGTAATTAAAATACTATTTTCTCTTCATTTTAATATTACGGGCGAGTGAATGGTCAATTAAGGTGTAACTCTTGACATTAAGGTTTACTGCCCCATGAAGAAAACCCCATTTAAAACGTTCAATCTTGGGTTGCGTTCTCACCGCTCAGTGAATTCATGCGTTAACTTATAATTCACTTCACCCGTGAGCACATAATAATACTTCATGGGCGTACCTGTCAAGATAATACGGGAAAAGGGAGAAAGATGTGAAGGAAAGGGAATCAAGAACGTAACCATGAACTTAGTACGGTTTCTTCACGGATAAGTGAACTCATGACGTGTTAACCTGTGATAGAAGTTCTGTCTCACTGGTGGTTACAGCGTGTGGTTGAACGGTGGATTTCAAGGAGTGGTTAAAGAGGTTAGTTAGGGTCTCAAGGGCGGATTCATGGGCGTGGTTTTCATGGGTGTTCCAAGAGAGCTCAGTGAATGAATACCAAGAGAGTGATGGGGCGGTTAACAGTACTAAAAGACCTGAGAGTTGGAGTGGTTAACCTGTGATGGAAAAGCCTGTGGAAAAGAGGTGTGTTGTTCTAAAGGTGAATACGGCATGAACTGAATGGTACGGGTGCGTGCGCGGGTGTGTGTGTGTGTGTGTGTGTGTGTGTGTGTGTGTGTGTGTGTGTGTCTGTGTCTGTGTCTGTGTCTGTGTCTGTGTCTGTGTCTGGGTCTGGGTCTGCGTCTGCGTCTGTGTCTGTGTCTGTGTCTGTGGTGTGTGCGTGTGTGCGTGTGTGCGTGTGTGCGTGTGTGCACGTGTGTGCACGTGTGTGCACGTGTGTGCAGGTGTGCGGGCGTGCGGGCGTGCGGGCGTGCGGGCGTGCGCGTGTGCGCGTGTGCGCGTGTGCGCGTGTGCGCGTGTGCGCGTGTGCGCGTGTGCGCGTGTGCGCGTGTGCGCGTGTGCGCGTGTGCGCGCGTGCGCGCGTGCGCGCGTGTGCGTGTGCGTGTGCGTGGGTGTGTGTGTGTGTGTGTCCAACGAGTGGTGGTACCCAAGTCGTCCTGGCCAGAACGGCAGCTCGCTTAATTTCACGAGGTTGCTATCACGTATATGTTTGTGATATACTAGCCAGGAGAACATGCCATTCCACTCTCAACTGTGTGGGGTTTTCGCTGGTGTAATGATACAGTTTTTTTTTTGTCCCGCGATTGGGAATAAGATATATAAGCTTATATTTTGTCAGCTGTATTGAGCTTTCAGACTGAGTTGCAATTTTTTTCCTTGGCACATTCCGGCATGTTTTTGCCAGCAACTGGGTTGCCGCGCACGCCTGGGGTTGCAGACATTCGTGGCGAACTGTGGAAGTGTGTCATGTTTAGTGTACTTGGCTCAGTGAACGCACATTAGATATAAACCATGGCAATGAGAAGGATTGCGAACGGATTGTGCCAATCTGCTCGGAGGCGAGGCTTCTCATCAGCACCGGTCAGCCAAGCTGAGGCGGTGCCATCCAAGAGTCAGTTGCGTGCCCATGCATTGCAGAGCGCCGTGCCGATGATAGGATTCGGTGTGGTAGACTGCGTGGTGATGACGCAAGTTGGTTCAACCATGGATGCTGTACTGGGTGCTCGGCTGGGCATCTCCTCAATCACAGCTGCGGCCATTGGTTTGTTTTGTAGCGATTCTTGTGGCGTGTTGTTTGGTGGGACCATCGAATCGTTTGCTGGAAAGCTTGGCTTGCCCAGCGCCAATCTAACATCTGAACAGTTGGAAATGCCGGAAACCAGACGTGTGGCAACTTTGGGCCGTTTAGTTGGCGTTCAGCTGGGCGTGTTGCTCGGCAGCACGACCTTGCTCCTGCAGGGCAAGCCAGAATCCAGCAACAACAAGGGCGAGGAGACACTGTTGCCGGAGAAGTGTCTCCAAAGCACGCCATCGCATTTGGCAACTACCGTTTCAATTACAAAGGCAGCAGATGTTGTCGTGTTTTCCAAACCTGGTTGTCCATTTTGTGAGGAAGCTGAGAACGCATTGCTTGCCCGTGGACTTGTGTTCAACAAGGTGCCACATGATCTGCACCGTGCAAACTTGCAAGAACTGACTGCTTCGGCAGCCGCGCCGTCCATTTGGATGCACGGCAAATATGTGGGCAACAAGTATGGTTCCGGAGGTTCTGTCAGCGATCAGGAGAGCAACTCATGATACCGAATCTGCGCTTCGGGGCTTCGGCACTCGATGTCAGCAGTAGTCTTATCTGTCACATGGTGTCACATGCTTAATTCACATTTAACAGAAGTTGCCGGACAATTTGTTCCGACTTCTCAGAGAGGCCACGTGCCATTGCATTCGAATCATGATATGACGCTGAAGTGGATGCAAAAAACGTGTGCCGCTCCTGTCTGTGTAGCGTTGCATGTCCCAACAGCACCCCAGAATGGCAAGCCCATCAGATGATTGACATGAATATGTCGGCTTAAAGCGAGGTAGAAGGTACCTCTTTCTCATCCGTGCTTTCCAGAACAGCTCTAGGCGAAGACCAGGGAAGATGTCCAACACGCGATGGGGCCGGAAGTGGGCAGATTTTGACGATGAGGAGGAGACCACCATGCAAGACGCACAACAACACTTCGAGACAGCGGCCGACAAGGATGGAATCAAAAGCATTGTCGAGTACGTCGACAAGAGCGGCGTGACCTACAAGATCACCAAAAAGGTGAAAGAAGTTGTGACGACAAAGTGGACGAACGAGGCTATCCAAGCCCGCAAGTCCTTGGACAAGTTTGGCAAGGCAGCCACTAACTCTGAGGCGGACGAAAAGACGTTGTGCATGAGAAGCGTGGAAGAAATTCCAGTGGAGTCAGCCAAAAAGATCCATGTGGATTTGTCCCAAAAGGATGATGCAGAAGAGAAGTTCTTCGAGGAGAGCTTGACCATTACGGAGAGCTTGCTGAAGGAGAAGAAGGTATGGACGGACCTCAACAAGGAGATGAAGGACCAGGTAGGCGTTGGGGAGGAGGACAAGAAAGACACAACTGAAGCATCGGCAACTCTGGCGTCTGGCGCACCTGGAAAGTACGTGCCGCCCAGTCTCCGTGGAGCGCAGGGTGATGGTGGCAAAGGCAAGGGCAAGGGCAAGGGAGGGGACTACTCGGGACAGCAGGATGCCACTCTTCGAGTTTTCAATTTGTCCGATGATGTCAAAGAGGGAGACTTGCAAGACTTGTTTGGTCAGTGCGGCCGCCTGCAGCGGGTCTTCTTGGCCAAAGACATGACGACGTATCAGTCGAAAGGCTTTGCGTTCATTACCTACTACAACCGTGAAGATGCTCAAAGGGCCATCGATCGATTGAACGGCCATGGCTACGACAACTTGATCATGAAAGTGGAGTGGGCCAAGCCACGAGCCTGAGAGGTTTCACCCGCTAGCCGAGAAGATGCACAAAATCTTCATAAGACGAGCCCGTTTCCTAGACATTGCTAATATTGCTAGTCACACGGGAAGTGGAACTAGAGCTTCGAGCAAGGACTTGAGACATACGGAGCCTCACTTTGTGTGCAACTTGCATGTATGGCATGAAGAAATGCGGGCTCGCACCTTGTCAGTTACACGTTAAACGCGGTACAGACGTGACTGGCAGTGATTTGCGCGTGCGTCTCAAAATTCTTAACAGACACCATTGCGAAAGCTCTCTGTTGTGTTGGTTCGCTGCTTGTACAACTGCAGCAGTGAAGACATGTGAAGACGGAACATGGAACTCCAGCCAGTGTCGAGTATTCGCAGTGCTTCAGCTCGATAAAAGTTCGACCCATGTGATCTGATGGTAACTTGCTTATCTGATTTGTAGCCTTGCGTTGCAGCATGGCTTCAGGACTTGCTAGTTGGCCACTGTACTTCAGCACCAGGGTAAACTCACAGGCATCTGCAGATGGGCTGGATAATCTACGAGTCTTTTCTTGCTAACTGTAGCTGCTTGGATCGCAAGGGATTCCCAACAATGCCGCCTCCAGGCAAAGGTGACAAAGGTGAGAAAGGCAAGGGCAGCAAGGGCAGCAAGGGCAAGATGGGGAAGTCCAAAGGCAAGAGTTGGGATGGCAGCACGGCGGCCAACGCATCGTACAGCCAACCAACTTCCGTGACTTCCGCGACTGACTCTGCATGTAAGTTCTTTGGGAGCGCCAAAGGATGCAACAAGGATTCCTGCCCATTCTCGCACAGCAGCCCCAACAGCGTACCATTCTGTGCCTTCTTACAACGTGGGCAGTGCGAAAAAGGAGCTGCATGTACCTTTAGACATCAGCAATGGTCAGGCGCGGATGAAGCCAGATCATATTATTCTGACCGGGAAGGTGATTTAGTTGAGAAAAGTGCCACGAGGTACAAGCAAGTACGGCGGGAGACAAGTGGCAAGCAAAGCAGTTCAGCCGGAGAGCGGCTGGGTTCCGAGCATGTGGAGCTGGAAGGACTGGAAGGCGAGATCGAGAAGGACTTTCAAGAAGAGACCTACGGCTCCAATGCCATGCGAATGATGGAGAAAATGGGTTACAAAGCGGGCAGTGGCCTGGGGAAGGAGAACCAGGGCCGCACATCACTGCTTGGCTCCTGTGTGGCCTTGGAGCATTCGTCTGGAACGTCGGCGTTGGGCTTCTCACACTATGCCGGTGCCATTCGCGTGACAGCCGCTGAGCGCGCAGCACGGCTGGCAGATGCCCGGGCAAAGAAGTGCCAGAAGCTGGAGAACACACCCTTCGTGCATCATAACCTCTTGAGCAGCGAAGAGAGCAGTGATGGTGAAGACCCTCTCGTCAAGTCTCGTGACGTGAAGCTGCACTGAAAAGTTTCTGCGTGATCAAGAATCTTGCATTAGGGCTGTTGGGGATACAAGTTGCCGCTGCGCATGCACAACAGGTGAGCAGGCATGAGAATAGCATTGCTTCGTTGCATGTGTGCCCCCCCCCCTGCCAGTCCGCAGCATGCTCGTTGCTGCACTTGCCATTGCAAGGTGGTGATTGTCGATGATTCGGTGTATAGCTAGAGACTACCGGAATGATACGGCAACCACACAGCTACGGTGAATCAGGGTGACTTTGCAAGCCACTGACGCCTCGCTCTCCAATTTGCAACGATTGTTGCGGTTTTGGAAATGGGCTTGGAGCTGAGAGGTGCGGAGGCATAAGAAGGTCAACATAGGTCGTCAATGGCACTGTGCTTCATTGTGCTGTTTTCAATAGGCTGCCCCTCTTAGGCCTGGCATGTGGCACATCCAACCTTCCACAAACCGTGGAGACAAGCCAGAGAAGCGGCCCATCAAAGTTGGACCGCGAAAGCCCTCGGCCCAGAGCTTGCCACCTTTGTCACAGTTGCAAACCTGTGGCAGCTTTGTCGAGACTTTTGCTAGATTCTACACTCTGATTCATCTAGATTCGCTCAAAAAACAGCAGTATCGGTGCAGACAAAATTGAGTGTGGCAGGTGATGAGAACGATGACAACTGGAAAGCATTGTTGACGGCAACGACTGGAACAGCTGGGCAAGTGGCTCCAACCGGTGCCGGCAGGCAAGCCCCGAGGTCAAGGGCAGCGCCGAAGGCGACAGCAGACCCCGCTGAACCTTTGCAGGCTTCCCAGAATTCGCCACAGAGCTCACCCGATTCACAAGAGGCCTATGGGTTGTTGGATGAGTACGTTGATGACTTGCTTGGCATTCCACCAAAAGACCGTCCAGTGTCATGGAGCCGCCCATCATGGCAAGAAACAGCGCTTGCCTCAGGCATGTCAGAAATGCCCGAGATGGTTCTTGAGGATGGGTCAAGGGGTCCAGCACTGCCGTCCCTTCCACTGAGAGAGACACTACAGAGCGAGCCGGCATCAAGTTCCAGGGAACCTGCACAACCTGTGCCGGCCACGCACTTTGGCTGCATGAGTCCATGAGTTCTGTCAGTTAAGTCCTTCTTGCGGCGTCGATGAGAGTGCGCCTGAGGCCATACTTGGCAGGCGTATTGAATGGCTGGGCCGTGATTGATCGCAGTGCTGTGGACCCCAAAGTCGTCCGAGACATTCCGGCACCAAAACGGCGTGCGGACAAGGCACCCAGGACATCGGATGATTGACTTGTCCAGAAGTCTTCTGAGTTGGCCGCGGGACACATCCTCGGAGAGGGCCGTTGCAAGCAGATGTCAAAGACCAAGGGTCCTGACGTGTCTTGTCGTTGTCTATGTGACGGTATGTGCGCAGTGCAGCAGATTGCAAGTCACCTGTCGGTTCCGTGGGTTGGACATTTGCTCAAGGAGAAGTTGGCTTAGCTATGTGTAGATCCTCTTGACACGTTGTAGGCAACTGCAAACATGCCAGTCCAGAGCAGCTGTAGCACTCTACGTACGTATACGTTCACTGCAAAACAAAACGGTGATCGTAGCTGTAGCCCAGAAGCCGTGACCTGGAGAGAGTTGCCCGGAAGGCATGAGCACACATGGCCTCTGAGGATGTGCAAGATGAGCAAGTGCCACCTGCCTACATGCACTCAGCATCAGCCGCAGCCGTGCAATCTCGCGCAACCGAGGAGTGCCGACACGGAAGAGAGCCCAGACTCAGCCTCAGCACACGCAGAGGCGAGGTCTTCTCGCGCAAGCTTGAGAAGAATCTGACTTTTAAGAGCTTGCATTCTCGCAGTATTCTTGCCTTCCCTGCAGGCAGCCGCCTTTTTCCGTTCTCCAAATGACCCCGGTCATGTAGCGACCTTGTCGACAAGATATTCACGCCGTGACTTGCTGTCAAACGTTTTCATATCATACAAATAGAGTATCTCTCTCATCTTGAGCTCGGTCACACCGATGCGTGTCAGCAAGGTTTCAGTATTGAAGCTGCCGAAGACAGGGCCATCACCTTCGAGCAACTGGCAGAGGTGTTGCATCATGGCTGGCTGGTTAGGTAGTTTCTGATGTGACTGAGTGCTGTTGGTGATTGTGCATGCTTCTAAGGAACTACGCTCTCTCGGCCTGCGGGAACTGGCAAGATCTGTCGGAAACATCAAGGGAGCCCAAGGCGGAAACGTCAAAGCCGAAGGCCTTGATGTGTTCTGGGCTTGACCACTACGACATCGTCAGCTGGGTGCTGCGGCCACTTGCCGAGACAACGAGGTGTTCCTTTGTGGAGACGATCGCAGCTCACGTGCAGGAGCCGGAGTGCTACCTGACTTTCTTTTTCGGCCAGCCTGTCCAAGACATCTTGCAATGTGTGCGGCAGCACCTTCGAACCAAACATCTTTCTGATGATACTCCATATTGGGCATGGGCCTATGCACATCGACATGGGCAAGACGATGTCCTGCCCGACAAGTTGCACCATTCACCCGCCTGGTTTGCTCATGCCTGAGCTGGAGGGCATGATAGTATGCAGCATTATGCATTCGTATATCGTATTGGTATTCATTGGTATTCCAAAGGCCTTTAGATACGAAAAATCTGTGTGGTCAGGTCTCAGATTCTTAGCTATCATATGGTTTTGAGGATGGTCCCAAGGTTCATCTGATTCATGCTTGGGGGCACAAAGGCTGGATGCCCTCATGCAAATCACATTCGTAAGTTGCAGGTTTCCGAAGCCTCCAGTCTTGACACAACTGCAAGTTAAGAGTGTTCTGAAAGCCTCCAGACTCAACAACCAATAGCCGCATTCAATAGCTTCAGATTCTCGACATGCCGATATGGTCTTCCGAGGTTTCCGAACGGCCTTGGGACCCCTGCATGTATGTGAGGGATCTCAGACTCTTTCAGTGTGGTTATGTTGCGATGGCCCATTTTTCTCAACTCAAAAGCAGTCGACGATAAGAACTCAGGGAGGGCCCCCACTGCGCATACTTTCTGCGCGGCTGGGTCATCACATGGCAATCTATAGGTTATACAGTTATACCTTGAGGCCATGAGCAAAACCAGCGGCATTCTGCTGGTCCTGGGCACCACATCAGTTCCTTTCAGCCGAACCTGGTGCCTGCGCTTTCAATTTGAAAACTCTCAGGGTTGTGACAGCGATTGAAGCAGGTGTGGAGAAAGGCAGAAAGGCAGAAAGGCAGTCATTAACGGGTATAAAAAGATGCTCTTTATTCTCTCATCGTCTCGGGGGCAAAAGGTGCTTGATGGAGATCACTTTGGCAGTGCTGGAGCGTCAACAAGCCCTGGACATTGTCGCCCGGCTGAGAGGAAAAAGGCAACTCGTGGCGCTTTAGGAACTTTAGGATCCATGCTACCATGTTCTTAAGCGCATATAAGCGCATTTTTACAAACAAGACAGCAATGAGGCGGCGTGCTCCTTGGAGGGTGTGAAGGTGCTGACGCAGCAGCTGACGGAGCCGGAGCGCCGGACGGAGCACCGCACACCGGGCACGGGCTTCAAGCAGAAGAGCCTTAGGGAGCAATCCTTCCCGGCTGATGCTTGGCTTGGCATTCGGACAACTTTGATTCCAACTTTGGAGTCTACTCTACTCTACTCTCCATCTTGTCTGTAGAAATTGCGCATAAGCCGCAAAAGTCTCGAAGTGTCGTCCTGCGCAATGTTCTCTGTATGCTCATTGTGATTCAAAGGAGATGCTGCTAGCCGCACTCGACATTGGCCTTGAGAGATCGGATGCGTCGAGCAAGCTGGATCGTAATCGCATCCTTTACAAGTTCTTGGAAGAGCGAGGAGTGGAAGTTTCTGGATCTGTTCCGCTTCATCGCCTTCTGGAGAAGGTGAACGTGAAGCTCCGAGCTCTCTTTGCCTCTCTGATGTGGCTGCCTTTGCTAGAGACCGACAGTGGAAGGCTACCACGTACGCGAAGTGCATTGGCCGATTCCATCAGGGCAAACACCGGCAAAGACTCCCTCGACCTGAGCTTCTGCGCTTCGCGAATCGACGATGCGCATCTGGCCGCGCTGGCTCGATCCTTGCACAAGAACTTGGCCACGCTAGAGCTGAACTTCAGCATGTGCTCTCACATAACGGTGAAAGGTGTAGAAGAGCTGGCCAAGTGCTTGCCAGCCAAGCTTCGGAATGTAAGGCTCAATTTCAAGCGCCGCGGCTCATGGCAACGTGTTGTGTTTGCTTGGTCTTCGAAGCTTTTGGGTATCTGAATACCCATGCGGATAGGGCAGAGGAGGTTTGCCGACAAAATTCGTCGAAACTTGCATTGCTAGTTGGTGACTTCTGCTCCAGCTCAAGCAAAAGCGCAAGCTCACACAAGGGTGCAGGGCCGTAAGGAACAAAGAAAGGAACACCGGAAAGTGCAAGGGCAAAGGGGGTGGACAAGTAAAAAAGGCTTGAGCTGTTTCCAGCATGTTTAGCGCCCAAGCTGGGCTCGGAATCACAGGGCGCAGTCGGCTTTCGCGATTGCACCAAAGCGGTCAAGGGCGTAACCCAGTCGCGCAACTCATGCAATGATGGAGAGGACCAAGCATTCGAAAGACCATAAAGGCTGGAACCGTTCAGTGGTGTTCAGTGGCCTAATGAGCTGCTAAGGGGCCCAAAAGGCTTGTGGGCAACTCTTCTCTTCTGCGTGTCCTCCGTACTATTCGGTACCCTAAGCGGCCGTGGCCGAAACCGAGCCCACCCAAGCTTCTGCAAGTTTGCTAAGGCTATGCTCTGACATTGGGCAAGGAGGTGTGGATGCTTTGTCCAATTCACTTCCTGCCGGCCTTACTTCTTTGCAGATGAATTTGGCCTGCAACTCCGAAATCCGTAGTTTGGCGAGCTTGTGTCGAGGCATTCGCAGCGTGCACTCGTTGAAGTTCCTTGTTCCTGGTGAAAGCATAAGGACTTCTGTCGGACTCATTTGTTTGTTGTTTGCTTGGCTTTGTGTCGCTTTGCTTTGCATGTGTGCGTAAGAGTTCTCTGAACATGTTTGCATAGCCTCGGCACGTGCACAGGGCCGACGCTTGTGCGTCCGTAACATTTCAAGATCAAAGGGGCAGGAGCATAGCATGGACGCCTATCACTTTGCGGGCGCTGCTGGGGGACTGCTGCTTGGAATCTGGCTTAAGACTGGGAACCGTGAGCCCGACGTTCGGCCTTGCATCTGTCATTGTGCTGTGAGTTCACCTGAACGATCGACTGGGGAGGGGGCCTGGCTTTGGCTAGTCTGCTTTGGGCTGGTCGGGCTGCTTGTCACCAACTTGGCCTTGGCATTCAGGGTTTCATTTCGGAAGGACGAGGCTGGACTTCAGGAGTTCACGTTCTCCGTGAAAGGGAAGTCTGGAAAAGGCGTCTACGGCGTCCCGAAGGGCCTACAGATCACCGAGCAGTGAGGCTAGCGCGCGATGCAGACCGGCGAGATTGTCTATCTTCGGTATCATGGAGACCCCGGCGTGATCCACACGCGCTTATTGGTGGGGCAAGTGCAGGGGGATGAATGGGTGATCGTGACGCCCGACCATGATGTGTATGTGGAAGAGCTCGCCCGGCACAACCCTGACATTCAGTACATGTGGCACTCACCCGATGGCAGGCTCGCCCGAGGGGTGCCCCGCAACCAGGTCTATGGATTTGCGCCCATGACTGCGGCCCAGTATGCTGCCGTGATGCGTGCTGGGAGGGCAGAGTTTGATGCCGAGATCGCAAGGCGCGGACTAGGAGCAGTGGCTGCGGTCGGAGCTGCGCCGATGGGTGGTGGAGGTGGCGCTGTGGAGGCCGCTCCAGTCGCTGCGGCGGCGGCAGTGGCTCAGCCTGTGGCCGCCGTTCCGGCCCAGCCGGGCAACGCTGCCATTGGAAACGCAGGGCCAGGTGCTAGAGATCTCACAGGGCGAGGCTTGGTTTGGGTTGCGGCCGAAGGGACCTGAACAACAGTGTTTGGTGAGGTCGTGGCCGGTGTAGTGGCACCAGCGGTGGAAGGTGCCAAGACAGTCCATCGGATGGCTGACGGCAGTGACCTCTTCTGTATGTGCATTAGTGAGACTAGCCGCCAGACGTTCAATGGGCGACCGGCTGCTTGCGATGGGCGCATCCTGGCCCGAGGCTTCAACACTGTGGGGCAGCCTGAGAGGCCTCTGTCAGAGGTGGTGGCTGCCTCGAGAGAAGTCGAGATGGGTTGGAAGATAGCCGGCCCGCGGACAGCCTTATGGTGCTTGAACTATCTGATGACGGAGGGCCTTGGCTTCGAGGCCCACCATGAACGGTTCAGGCAGCTTTGCCGCATCGACGCAGGCGGCTGGGGTGTCCAGGAGCACGTTCAGACCAGTATGTTCCTTCGGCAGCTGATTCAGGTCGACCAAGTGGATGCTTGCAACTGCTACGGCGTGGAGCTCATGTTCAGACGGGTACAGACAATCGAGTACGCTCATTCAGAAAGGGCCCGGGAGATCGAGTCGAAGACGGTCGGTGGCAAGCTCAGTTTGGAGGAGCAGTACACCTTCGGCTCCTTGGTCCGTCAAGCCGGGACCTTGATGATCGCACCATCCTTGCTGGAGCACGTCAAGCAGGAGGTTGAGCGCGACGCGCAGCTCTCAAAGAATCTCAGAAAAGCCCGCGAGGAGCGGGACTTGGCGAAGAAGAAGGGTGGTGGAAACCCCTGAGCTGGGCTTCGCCTGCGGCTGTTGGGAGTGCGTCGCAGGCGGCTTTGAGAACTCCCTTTTTGTCTGGCGACGCACGTCGCGTCCCCAGAGACCTTTTTCCTTTGCCGGTGCCCGGAGTCTCATGTGATGGCGGCTTTGGCGGGTCAAGGCGTGTCAAGCGCCGCTTGGAACGGAGATGGCACCAGGACACCATGGTAGCTGAGTGCGTTCGCGGGCTCAATGCTCTGTATAGTGGAGACAAGTTTGGCAAGGCGAACTCGCAGTGCCAGACACCTTCGCGGGCACAGCTGGCTGCCTTGGAACACATTCGAAATTCAGTGCACCTTTTGGGGGCTCCCGAACAGGAGCTCAGTGGTCGAGAGGCGCTTTGGCAGCTTCAGGCCTTCGACGGGTACGGGGAGGACCAAGCCCCGCCACTCGTCGCCTCGTACGAGCCCAGCCTTTTGAGTTTGCCCACCGGGGAGGTGCCGCCTGTGCCTCTTCACACGCTACTCGGAGGCGATGGGATGAAAATTGTTGAGGACTTCATCTCAACTCGGCTTTTGCAGAAGAATGAGGCCCTGCGCAATTTGCGGAGGACTGGTGTGGTGAAGTGTTATTCGGACCCGCGACTTTTGGAGGCCCGTGTGTACAAGAGCTTTGTGCGGCGCCTTTGGGACGGTGGCCTCGTCGAGTTCACGTCCGAGGAGCCCACCGAGAAGGTTGAAGTCTTCTTTGTGCGGAAGAAGGACGGACGGCTTCGGATGGTGGTTGATTGCAGGAGGTCGAACGAATGGTTTGCCCCCCCGGACAAAGTCAATTTGGCGACGGCTGAGGTCCTTAGCCGCATTGATTTGGGTGGCACCGACTGTGACCTCTACATCTCCACTGCCGATTTGAAGGACGCCTTTTACCACTTTGAGCTCCCCCTGCAGCTACGACCGTACTTCGGTATGCGGCCCTTGTCAGCTGGCGACCTCGGCATCACCTCGCTGGGCGGTAAAGCGATTAGAGCATCTTCTCTAGTTTTCCCGCGCCTGAAGGTGCTGCCGATGGGCTGGACACACGCCTTATGGTGGTGCCAAAACATCCACCAGCGGATCGTGTCAGGTGTTGGAGCCACAGCTGACAAGTGCCTCGAGGACCGTGCTTCGGTACCGTCCCCGGAGTGCATGCATTTAGAGTACGTCGACAATTTCGTGTGCATTGGCACTGCCAAAGAAGAAGTCGAGGCACTTGCGGCTGCAGGGGTACAGGCTTTGAGGGACAAGGGCTTGGTGGTACACGAGGTTGAGAGCGGCGAGGGGAACATCAAGGTTTTGGGTTGGTGTTTTCAAGGCAAGAAGCTCCGGCCTTTGTCCCACCGGGTGTGGCGCCTCATAGCCGCTATTCGTTTTTTGCTGGACCGTGGCACATGCAGTGGCAAACAGCTCGAAAAGGTGCTCGGGCATGCAACTTTCATTGCCCTAGGCCGCCGTGAAGCCTTAGCTGTATTTGGTGAGTCGTACTCTTTTGTTCGTACTCACTATGAGCAGAACCACCGTATATGGCCTAGCGTGAGGAGAGAGCTTATGATCTGGACCTCAATCGCGCCCTTGCTTTGGAGAGATTTGGGGATCCCTTGGGCCTCAGAGGTCGCTGCGGTCGATGCCTCCACGTGGGGCTTGGGCGCCGTTGTGGCCGACTTTGACGAAGCAGAGGTTCGCCAACTAGGGAAGTACTCGGAGCGATGGAGGTTTGAGATCCCGGAGTTTCGCTGTCCTCGTGCAAGTGCGTTCGGTACTGCCTTTGCTGATGATTCTGACGAGGCTCGCAGCCTTCAGTGGGCCCACTCCGGGGACAACAATGCCAAGGCGCGGCCCGTGCCCCTTTCGGTCGTAGAGGGCAAGCTGCTTTCTGATAGGTTTGTGCCGGTCGCATCCAGCCAAGTCGATCGTAAGTGGCGTGTGGTGGGACGGCACAAATGGAAGCGACAGGAGGGCATGCCAGTGTTAGAAGGAAGGGCCTCGTTGTTTGCTGTGAAGCGCTTGCTGCGCAAAGAGACTTCCTTTCACATGCGGCATCTCATCCTGTCGGATTCTACCGCTGCCATCTGCGCTCTAGACCGTGGCAGGGGGCGCTCTTTCGGAATGCGCCGTGTGACTCAACAGCTGGCGAGCCTGTGCCTGTGCTCGGGCATCAGTGTCCAGTTCAGGTTCATCCCCTCAGAGTGGAATCCTGCCGACGCGGTCTCCAGAGGCTCCCTCTTCCCGTCGAGCGCTGTACATGGTGGTGCACAGGTTCATCCAGCTCCCCAAAGCTGCAGCCAAGACCGCACTGCGGCCGCCGGCCAGCCGTGTGAACCGGCCCGCGGGCCAAAGCCTGCAGCAGGTCAAGAAGACTCGCGCGAAGGCCAGGGTCAAAATCAGGCAGCAATTCGGGACGTTGGCGGAGGCATCAGTGAGCCGTGGATGCAGAGAGCGGTACAGCAAGCTGTGGAGGAGGATGTGCACAGCGGCGGGGTTAACCATGACCGAGAAGTACACCGCGAGCGACCTCGACCTCCCGGCGAGCCAAGTTTTGGAGGACTTGTTCGACGAGGGGGAGGATTTGAGCCAGGGCCAGTACCTCATTGCGGCGATCCAGTTCTACCAGCCCCATCTCCGTGGTGGCCGAGGCGGGTTGGACCTGGCAAAGCAAACTCTCGCAGGGTGGCGACGACTGGACCCGCCAAAGTCGAGGCTGCCGTTACCCTGGGAAGTCGTGTGCTTGATGGCTATGGAAGCCATCACTCGCAACATGATCGAGGTGGCCCTTTATATATTACTCGCCTTTGTGACCTACCTGAGACCGGGCGAGGTAGCCAAACTGCTGGTGGGTGGCTTGGTGCCCCCCGTTGGGGTGGTCAAAGCATGGTCGCTGATCCTTCACCCGCTGGAGCTCGAAACGCCTTCGAAGACGGGGGAGTTCGACGAGACAGTGTTGTTCGACCTTCCTCAGATTGTGTGGATCGCCGAGCAGACCTTCCGTCTGCTCAAGGCCGGCCACCGATGCGCCTCGGAGCCGCTGTTCTCGGTGAGCCTAGAGACAGTGAGAAGCTTCATGCGCGATGTCGGAAGCCGGTTCGGCATGGAAGTTGCAGTGGGCGATCCGCATCCTTATCGTCTTCGTCATGGCGGTCCGAGCCGGGATGTTCTGCTTGGCTTTCGAACCTTGCAGGAAATCCAAAAACGGGGGAGGTGGCGCAGTTTCAGCAGTGTGCGAAGGTACGAGAAAGGTGGTCGCGTCACACAGCAGATGCAAGCCCTCTCCAAGGCGACGCGGCAAAAGGCGCTGGAGGCAAGCCAAAACATCCAGTCCGTGGTGTGTGGCCTGCCCTGAATGTCCCCCTTGGGCCGGCAGTGCGGGTGTACATCGAGATCTTCTCTGGCCGTGGCGAACTTGGAAAAGCTCTGGCGCAACAATGTGGAGGTGTCGTCATGTTGTGGGATCTCCGGCTCGGCAGCCAGTATGATCTTCGTCATCCGGCACGCCGCGCGATGATCTGTGGGTGGATAAGAGCCGGGCGGATTTCCGGTGTTCATTTGGGCACCCCGTGCGAAAGCTTCACCCGGGCTCGTGATGCCCCGCCTGGTCCTTGCCCGCTCCGAAGCAATTTGCAGCCATTGGGACTCCGTGGTCTTTGCCCTGCCGATCAAGTCAAAGTTGAGCTGGGCAATTTGTGGATGCGCTTCTCTGTCAAAGTTGTGCTCTTGTGCTGGAAGTTGCGGCTTAGCGCGACTCTGGAAAATCCCCTTACCTCCCGTTTCTGGAGGTGCCCCCCTGTGCAGCAATTGCTACGCCGGCCACATGTGGGCCGCTGGACAGCCCATTACTGTGCATGGGGAAAGCCCTTCAAAAAACCCACCGCTTTTCTGGGGGTCCACATCGACCTGTCTGTCCTCGAACTACACAAGTGCCGTGGCAAGCGCATATGTGACTTCACTTTGCGACCGCATGTGCCGCTGCAGGGGCGCACAGCAGCAGGACAATGGCGCACCAAGTGGGCTGAGCCCTATCCCACCCGCATGTGTGCTGCGATTGCCAAAGCATTTTACAATGCTGAAGTGGCAGTCCTAGCGCGGAAGTTTGAGCAATGCTATGCTCGGTCGTGACCAGATGGCAAGCAAATATGGGGGCCCTGTGCATGCAAGTCTGCGGATGCTTCTTCAGTTGGAATAACATGGTGGTTAATGGGGCTTGCAAATATGGGCACTTCTTTTGCGACGGCATTTTCTCCCGGCAACCCTTAGGGCTAATGCTGGGCGATGCCGGCTCGCAGACGCAAAGCTTGATGTACCATCTGGCCTGAAAAGAGTGCCTTCGCGGTGCATAAGAGTTCTCTGAACATGTTTGCATAGCCTCGGCACGTGCACAGGGCCGACGCTTGTGCGTCCGTAACATTTCAAGATCACCCTCCCTACCCTCCCCGAAGTGGGGGCACTTCTTTTGCGACGGCATTTTCTCCCGGCAACCCTTAGGGCTAATGCTGGGCGATGCCGGCTCGCAGACGCAAAGCTTGATGTACCATCTGGCCTGAAAAGAGTGCCTTCGCGGTGCATAACTGTGCATGTTCGTTGTCGTGTTGGCCCGGGCTATGAATCTTACAGCACAGTTCGCAGTTCGCTTGGAACCAAGGTTTCTGGACTTGGATCTTTCTTTCGTGGAGTACTTGACCGACAAGAGCCTGTTGGCATTGGCAGAGATGCTGAATGATTTGTGCAGCTTGAAGAACCTCCTTTTGGCGTTCAAGGGATGCAAATCCGTTACTGATTCGGGTGTCACGGCTGTGGTGGAAGGTCTGCCATCTGTCACACTTCTCAAACTTGATTTGGCCTTTTGCAATATTTCGGATGAAACCATTGAGTCGCTTGCCAGCCGCGTGCACTCCATGATCGATCTTGGCGTTCTGCACATCAGCTTCCAGGGCTGCCAGAACATATCGGAAGTATCAACTGCGCACTTGGTCCACGTGCTGCCTATTTCCTTGAAAGGCGCCAAGCTGAACCTTTGCGAGACTCCTTTGCCCATGAACGTTCAAAAGCTGTGCAGGCGATTGGCCACCATGCGCACTTGGACGTGGACAGCGCCCCTCAGGGCAAGTTCTTCCTTGAAGGATTCCAAGGAATCCAAGGAATCCAAGGAATCCCATGGTCCACAGGAGCCGCCATTGCCGCAAGACAGCAACATCAGCAACATCAGCAACAGCGTCGACATTTGCGCGGACAAGCCTGGCCTTGCCTTGCGAAGCCTGGATCTCTTCGTGCGGCGAGGCTTTGTGCAAGAGCCGCGAATGCCGCGGTCGAGACCGGAAGCATCTGGACGGGAGAGCCTCTGGGAAAAGATCGCCGCCCGAACAGTCACTTCAGACGAGGACGAGGCTCGCCTCCGCCGAACCTTTAGCGAGCCATACAAGCGCCCTTTGAAAGCTCTCTTGCCAAAGGTTGCACACCGAGCTAAAGGCTCTAGCATCGCTTCCATGGCTAATCCCGAATGCATGTTTTCGAGGCCACGGACAACCCATAGCGGATTCTCCGAGCCTGTTTGGTATCCCTGACATGCTGTGACATCCTCTTGAGGAGGATGCTTTCGAGTCTTCACCTGCACGGGGCACCCGCAAAGTGGCGGCTTTCGTACTTTTGTTCTGTTTGGAAATGTTTGGAAAGATTCCCCAATATTCCCCACGTTTGAGATTCGGCCATTGCGTCAATGCTGCGTTTCTTAGCATGCAATGGTAACTTTTGCCACGATGGCAACCAAAATGGCAACCACTCTGGGACAACTTGATGTTGCAGGTCAAGAGTTTCCCGCCTCTGGAGCTGTATTGGGGGAGCCGCTGTGTGCATTCCTTGGGGCTTTGATGGTAGAATGTTGCTGAATCTTGTTTTGCCATGCTCCGGGCTGCTAGAGAGTACCTCTTGTACAGGAGAACGTATGCACGGAGTTAAGCCTGCGCTAGGAATATGTAAAGCATTAGGCACTATTTCGGATGTCAGATCTCAATTGTAGTTTAGATGCCAGAGCTTATGCACTGTCCATGCACGCTCTTTCACATGTGGACTTGTTCGTGCACAATGGGTTGCGAGCAGGGATCGCGGTGCGCGGATGGCACGCTGGCAAGCTATCGCGATTTCTTGACCTTGCCGAACGGAGCTTGCAACGACCTTGTCGGCTGTGCACGCAGCCTTTCTGATGGCGTTGATGAGATGCTTCAAAATCAAAGCTGGACATGGGAACCACTTGACCCAATGAGCCGTGCCGACATCCAGTTGGCTCCTGAAACCTGCGTTGGTCACTTGGAGCAGCATGGTTGTGGCTTAGTTCGGGGTGTGCTTAGTGCTGAACTCTGTCAGCGTTTGCAAACATTCGTGGACAGCCATCTCGAGATGGTGCAGAATGCCGTTGAATCTGAAAATGACACAGAGCGTCGTCAAAGCTTGCTACAGGAGCATTTCGGCACCGTGCGTGACCGTCAGCACCGATGGGATTTGAAGTTGCCATTAAATTCAACGGTGGAGGAAGCGGTGCATCAGGCGGTGCTGGCCCTCCAGCCTCTCCTTGAGGGGACGGTCCAGGCTGGTGGAGCCCTGGTCGAGCTTTCATGTTTGATCACCGATCCTGGAGCACCAAGACAAAATGTGCATGTGGATACGGGTGGCTGGAAAACTGCCTGTGCTCCACTCTTGACAACCTTCATCGCTTTGCAAGAGATATCGGATGCAATGGGGCCCACAATCCTTTTTCCTGGCACACACGATGACCCGTACCTTCAGCAATGGCTCTCCGTGTTGCCTGGTGCGGACCGTTCCCCGGAGCAGTTTGGAGGCGGCGTACACGCCACATGTACAGCTGGCTCAGCGGTGCTGATGAATTCTCGTCTCCTGCATTGTGGCGGCGCGAACCTGCAAACAGAGTCCGGTGGTTCGAGAAGACGTTTATTCTACATGACTTGGCAAAAGCCCGGCAATACCAACCACGGATCCACTTATACCATGAAGGACGCGCTTGTGGGACGACATCGTGTTCAAGACTTTCTGTCTTCTCCACTTGCTTGCGGCGACCCGAGCACTGAGGAAGATCGTATCGCGCTGGAGGTTTTGGCGAAGCGGAAAGACGATGTCCAGGCAATGCTCGAATTTGCGATGTGCTTGCGCAAAGAAGGGGACCCAGGTGCCGTCGAGTGGCTTCGTGCAACCGGCCGCAAGGGCCACCCACTTGCATGCATGCACTTGGCCGAGATGTATTGTCTAGGGGAACTGGGTTTGGAGACAAACTACGTGGCAGCCGATGCTGCTTGCCTATGTTGAGTATGGTTTCTCATGCCAACTAAGGGCATAAGTTGCAGAAGCATATTCTTTAACAACTCCTTGGCTGCACCTCGTTGGTGCTAGTTTCCAGCTGAGGAGCTGCGGAAGTTTGCGCTTGGCATTTTTGACCACCTGGCTGATCGGTCCGAATCCAAGCCATCATTCCAAGCCTTTCTGGAAAACCATGCAGCCATCTTTCGGCAGGACTTGCTGTTTTGACATCGGAGAAAAGGTGCCGACAGAGCTGGTGCAGTACATAGCGAGAACATGATACCGTGAACAGATGGTGAGCACCAACATCTCAAAGAGCTAGTTTTGATTCGATCTTGCCTGCGGCAAGATCTCGCTGCACAGATCAGTGCTTCTGCATTGTTCAACTAAAGTGCATTTTGGCCCTTTTTGGCATTGGCGTGGCCTGCAATGCGGTTCTGGGGTGGGGAATAGCATTCCCCACAGTTCTGCATGGAACTCACACTACGCGGCATGGGCAGGTGAGAAGCTGCTTGCACCCCGCCGCCGCGAAGAGGCTCAAGCTTTCACTAATCGCTCCTTTGCTACGTTGCTTGACAATTCTCTCCTGGTTAGACTATGCGGCGTGCAACAGGACAATCCCTCGCTTTGGTGTCTTGGACGGATTTGGACAGCCCAAGGTTCATGATTGGACATGCTGGCCAATTTGACGGTTCTCCTGTGGAAGACTTAGGCTTTCATCTTCATGCTGGCAGTTAGGGACGTGTCTGCGGCACGGGAAGCTTTCAATGTCGCTGAGATGGTGACCCTGACGGCCAACAGCTTGCGGCAGAGTGACGAGTTTCACGACCGTGTTTCGTTTGGCAAGACTTGACTAGCAGCCCCAAAAGAAGAGGCCGAAGACATTCATTGATTCTGCCAGCAAGCAGCAGGAGCGCGTCGAGACTGTCACTGAAGCGGGCTCGTTTTCAATGCAAACGATGTGGGCGAAAGGGAAGGACAACCCACGATTGCATCTTGGCACCAGTTTGAAAAGTGTCCTTTGAGAGAAAGCGACGTAGACCGTAGACCCGTGTAGAGTGATGAGCACTTCTACTAAGGGGTCATCTGACATGGCACAATGCAACCATCACTTTCCGTCATGCCACTGGTGGGCCGGGAGAACCTGAGAAGTATGTGGAAGTCACGGGCATGGACAAACCCTACCGACTCCTTCCGGACGCGCTGGTCATGAACAAGGCCGACGCCATGAAAGCATGCATGGTGTTGGACCACATCGACAGTTTAGGTCAGCAGCTGAAAGACGGCATGGGGCAAATTCTTCATGTGTGTCCCTGTCCTCCGACCGTGTCTCTGTCCTCGTACTGTGTCTCCTTTCGTGTACACTCCTACTTGGATCGCTGATTCGACGCAAAAGCCCTTCCACAAACTTTCTTGCAGCCACCTGTGCTAAGCAACCTCGAAACCAAAGCCTGTGGTCCTGTTGCCATTCCTGCCGTTGGTGAGACAGAATCATTTTTCCTTGGACAAATCAACAAACCGATCGAGAAGGCGGTGGACTTTCGATGGAAAGGCCGCCACCACAGAACCACCGCGCAAAAGCGTGAGCGTGTGTCTCATTGTCGTGACTGATCCCGCTCGTGGCCTTGTGAGCCCATCGCAGACAGGGCAAGAAGGCCTGCAAACGTGGCTTGATCAAAACCAGTGCTGCAGACTAGGGCTCCTAAGCTTTAGAAACTACTTTGTTTTTCTTCTACTTGGTGCTAAGCCAACGTGGGGTCCTGGCTTCGGGGAGTGCACCTGAAACTTCCTCGACCCGAGACTCTACCGCACCTTTGCGTTCGTCCCTCTCCCTGAGCGCAAGTGTCCCCAAGAGGGTGGCTATTCTGAGTGTGTGTGTGTGGGTGGGTGTGCGTGCAAGTTTTCGTTCATGATCCGGGTCTCGGGAGTTTTCCAACCTGCACCATCCAGGCTATCAAGACCATGGCCGTTGTGGGAATCGTGGGCTGGCAAGCCTTTGATGGTGGCTCATGGGGACCCAGCACGTACGGCAGGTCTGAGATGTTGTGGATCCGCACCGAGATGAACCCCATCATTGGCCACACAACCAGCAGCACACTGTCCTGGCGCTATGCTGGTTCGCCGGTCTACCGAAAGGGATCTGGCAAGCCATACTATCTGTACAAGGGTGTGCAGAAAACCATTGACATCGAGAGCGTCAGCAAGGCATCTGAACCAACACCTGCCTCCTTTTCTTTGGACATCCCTGGGCAAGCTTCCAAACCGTTGATGTACCCTGACCGCGAACTCATGCTTCTCGTGGATGCCATGATCGGCCAAAACACGTGCATGAACAGCCCCAGCCAATGTGCCTACCGCTGCCAGTATGACCCCGAGAATGACATGTGTGGGCCACACGCATTTTGCAACAAGGTCGAGACTTAACCGAGTTGGACTCCGCTTGTCCAGGGCTTATGTAGCAAGCTAGGGAATCCAAACAGCCCAGGACACAGATGAGATGTCCATTCTGGCTCCATTCGGCTCCCAACAGAAGTGCAAGGCAGTAGGCGGCAGCAGCCACGAGGAGGCTGATGCGGCCATCACCAATGAAGCCATCCCTACATTGAAGATGCTTGCCCTCAATGTGACCTTCCAGCATTTTCCATGTTTGAGATGCCTGTATCCGTCCTTTGCATTGTTCAGCTGTGTTCCACATGCGTGTTTGTGTTTCCACAGGTTACCAAGAAGTTGGCGGACATGCCAGCTGTCGCCCAGTCGAGCGCCAGCGTGTCGACGGTGAAGAAAACGGCCGCTTTATGGAAAGAAGCCGCGGACATCCTGCAAGTCTTCGAGTCGCTTGCGGCAAGGCCAGATTCAGATGTTGCATTGCAGCGCCGGGGCTTTGATTCGTGCATCAGGCTGGGTCCTGATGTGGGAAAGTTCACTGATGGGAGCCATCGAGTAAGTTCGACGGACATGAAGTATTGGCGCCATCGGCAGGCCAGGAGCTGACCCATCGAACCATCTGCTCATTTTCTGACGTGCTTTATAAATTGAAAGCAACTTGGCTTTGCGAAGGACCGACTGACGCAGCAGCAGTACGAAGCTGCGCAGACGAAATCCATTGCGGAGCTCAAAGCTTCGACTGACTTTTCGGTGCCAGCAAAGCTGTCTCTCGGATAAGACCTGCAGTGAAATGGCAAGACACAAGACAGCCAAGACGACAAGGGAAATCTGAGCGCCGCTTCCATCCCCAATACAACAAAAAGGCAGAACGGATCAGAACGGAAGCTGGACTGAGGCACTCCGAGCTTGTAGGTTTCATGACAAAGCGGCCAAGACTCATCGTGCAGATGGCTGCTTGGATCTCATGAGCTTTTGTTTTCTTGATGTTTCTTGGCTTCTGGAGCTCGGGTTGCCTAGAAAATGTATGCCAATCAATGCAACATTGGGCAATTGCCAGAAGGCAGCAGTAGGATCCAATCATTGCTATCTCTCTCTCTCTCTCACTCTATCTCTCTCTGTCTCTCTGTCTTTGTCCTTCTTCTTTCTTGATTTCTTGATTTCTTTCTTTCTTTCTTTCTGTCTGTCTCTCTCTCTCTCTACACACACACACACACTATAAAGTATGGTACCCCGCCATTGTGCCTGCCTACCTTGTCTTTGGTTTTCTTCTTCTTTTTCATATACATTCCCATCCGAGTCTTGTTTATGAATATCATATCCGATGCAAAAAGACCTACACTAACATCTGACACCGGAAACGCGAGATCTGTCATGCCAGCGTAGGGCCACAGGACCAAAACTTGAATTGTTTTTCAAGTGTTTATTCAACATCTTGAGACTGAAGATTGAAGATTCCCACGAAAAGGTTTAAGAGGAATCTTCAATCCTCAATCCTTAGACCCTGGATTTGAATGGCAACTTAAGAAGTTTTTCAAGTTTGTGCTCAACGTCCGCGCGTCGAAGACGTCAACATTGAAGATTTCCAGGAAATGGTCCAGGAGGAATCGTCAATACTAAATCTTCAGCCCCAGGACGTAGAATAACAATGTGAATATGTACATCATACAGGGATGGAAGATATGAGATCCGCAGGAAAAGGTTTACGAGCAATCTTTCATCCTCACCCTGGATATTGAACACAGGTTTGAATATGTAGATATCCAAACGTTTATTCACAGACCTGGCTGCGAACTTTTAGGACTGAAGGTTGGTTCCTCTTACACACTTCCTGAGAGAACCCAGGGTCTTGAACAACAACTTGAAACACAATTCAAGTTGTTAGTCAAATCCACGCCTGGAAATTCAAATCAGGATTGAAGATACCTCCCACATCTTTCCCTGAGATTCTTGAACCTTCAATCTTCAATCTGGTGATTTTGAATAAGTACTGGGATCATTATTCAACTGTGTCTTCGGAATCTGGGTCGTTGTCATTTGGTGCCAAGCCTGAACTGAAACCGAATACAATTATTCGGGCCAGGGTCCAAGGAAAAGTTATAGTGTTTACGGCCCCAAAAAGGTCTTTAGCAATGGGCCGTCATGGCGTTCGCTTGTTCACGCACGAAATTATATTCACGCCTTAACATGCAATAGAATTTATTGTGCTCACTTCGTTCATTAAGTCGTTCAACGCACGAATCAGGGAGCTTTTTGCCTTTATGGGATGCGGGTGGACTTTATGGGTGCACCTGACAGTTGGTGCAATGGCTAATTAGGTGGATCAGGCCAAAGCCATGTCACAATTGCAAGTGAAGGATGCGGAGTTCCGCTGATTTTCTTAAGTCGAACAGCATGAGACTATAAAAGACAGCTTCCAGGAAGTCTTGCGCCCGCTGTCTCATATGTTTGTTTGCTGGGTTCGTCACATGTATGTGTGTCTAATTCAGAAATTACTGAAATAAATAAACGAAATAAAAATATAGCAAATAAATAAGGAAATAAAGAAACATATATATATATATATATATATAGACACATACACACATGCACACACACTCTCTCCGTGTTTTTGGTTCTGTAGCACCATATTCCGGGTCTTGTTTGGCGCCCTTGTAATTCAGGAATTGTTTGAGCAATGTAGGTGTCAATTTATTGGGCTCAGAGAGTCAGACGTCTAGCGTTACGTGCTCTGGATGTCTAAGGCCAATTTGGAGTCGAAGGGGAAATGCTTGCTCAAGGATGCAACACAGGAAGATCAAGACCAGTTGACCCTTTTTGTGAAGTACTTCTTGAAGGTCCCCGGCTACAACAGCCGCGATCTGACAGGCCAAACCCTTGACCTGCCCGAGAATTGCCAAGAGCATTTGCAAAACAAGGGCGGGACTTCAATGGACGATCTGATGAGTTCCCCAGCAGAAATTACAATGCGAGCGAGTGGTTTTTCCCAACAATGGAGTTTACACATACGTAGTATAGCCTCTTAGGGTGTGTCGTTTGGAGGTCGGTCAACTGCGGCTTTTGAACTGTATTTCGGTTTGGAATGGTGTGGACCTGCCGTGCTGCGACTGACCATCCCATTTGCCTTTGCTTTCGAGCACGCGAGTCGAAATCCCAAAAGGATACCTCACGGACCTCACCCAAAGCCCGAGAGGAGAATGAGAAGCTCAGAAGAAGACTGAGACGACAAAGTCGATAAAATGAGGCTCTGCTGACGAGGCGAAGGAACAAATGGATGCGGCAGAATCAGGTGCAGAGATGCCAGAGCTGCAGTCCGAACGAGCCTTGGGCAGAAGATTTGCGAAGTGAGGAGTCCGCCTCTTTTTGCCGAGAAGCATTGCGAAGGGTTTCGAGTTTCGGAATCCCGGAATAGGCTGATTTCAATAGATGGTGACGCTCGATGCCTCTGTGACTCCATTCCCATAAACTGGTTAGCGACAGTGAGTCTTAGTGCGAGACGGTGCGGTGGGAAGACCGCCGCATGTTGAATGACAGGTGCCACATCGAAACCCTTGGTATCGATGCCTCGAACAAAAAAAGGATGAACAGAAGAACGAGTGTTGACTTTTTCCAGCGCAGCTGTTCCGTGGCACTTCGCCTCATGTGAAATCGGGAGAAGGAAACTACGTGCTGAGTGGGCTCAGGGTTCAAACCTTCATTGCCTCCACCCCGACCCCCTAAAGCGCGGTTATCAGCCCTAAAGTTAGGAGGCCTTAAAGCGTTTCGAGAGTGGCTCAGACTAGTAAACTGTGCGACCTTCGTCCAGCTCTGTGGGTGCCAAGCAAAAGAAAGCTCATCATGTGCTATTGTATGAACATGCCATGCTCAACCTGCAGCATTCCGTCATGAATGAAACTATTCCAACATCAAATTTCTAAGGTAGAAGTTCGCAAGGAAGGAGGGAGGACCAAAGAAGGAAGGAGGGAGGGAAGAACAGAAAGGAAGCATGGAAGGAGGTACGCAGGGAAGGAGGATGGTTCGAACCCCATTCTACGAGCCTTGTGTTTGCGAATGGGAGGGCCTCCTCCCCCCCGTAGCCGGCAAGCTCACATTTATGGACATCGTTTATTTGTGATCTGAGCTGTTGTTTGATCCGTTTGGCTCACACTTTCGAAAGTTTTTTTGATCCTGCAGAAGTTGCTTTTGATCCCCCTCCCGGAGTTTTCGGAGAAATCAAAACCTTGAGTTGAGGACTGCGAACGGCGGTGAGTCAAGACGCAGAAGCGAGCAGCTTGCTGCAAAGCGGATCATGGTCGGATGCATCCGAGGAGGCGAGACGCACAGCCGCTCGGAGTCTCAGTGCACATGTACCTTTATGTTTCTTCACTGCGTTTCCGGAAGGCATAGCATGGTTCTCGTTTGAAGGGGGCTGCGGCTGAGAGACGTGTGTTCTTTGCCGGGCAGTCGATTACAGTCCAGTTGCAAAGACGGGGCTGGGGGTCTGCAGCTTGGGGCAATGCAAGTGGGGCTTGGGGAGTTCGTGAGTGTATTCGGCCACACACACGCCCACCCTGTTTGTAGGGTGTGTGGACACTCGAGCAAAAAGTTGCTTTCACGTGCCCCAATCTCAAAAAGTCGAAAACTGAAAAACAGTTTCAACTTCTAAAACTGAGGAGTGAGTGCCTCAATAATCTGTGCTCCCCCTGCTCCTAAGGCTAAGAATCCGCATTTGAGGCTGTGGGGCTGGTGTGAGAGCCAGAAGTTGTTGGCCCTACACCAAGCGAGAGCAGAAACACCCCGGGGCCACAATTATGTTTTGCATTGTTCTCCGGCCGGCTGTGTGTTTGGGGCGGGGTGGGGTTGAAGGGGTCTCGTGCAAGTTTCCGCCGCTGTCCACATTCCTGTGGAGACTATCAGGCGTATTCAGGTGTGCGAGGCGAGAGGTCGGCAGTTCTGTCAGTTGGTCCTGTTCAATAGTTAGTGTTTGCTTGAACGCTGCGCATCGCCGCGCCGAGCTCATCCCCATCTTCATCGTCATATTGCTTGCCGTTTCCTTTATGATGCTGGCGGGGCTCTGCTTCGACTGGGCCCTATACAGCATCTCCGACCTGCAGATCCAGCCTAATTGGATCGCCTTTCGGACAGATTAATAAGAGCAGCTTTCCTCAGCTTTCTTCAGCTGTCCTTAGCTGTCCTCCAAGACAATGTGGGACCAAGGCTTAGGTTCAGCTTGTTGCACCCTGCAAGGCCTTTGTGATTGCCTTCGCGTGTGGTTGCTTTATGGTCGTTGGCCGCTTGGCTCTGTATGGCCGGCGTGTTTTGGTGTTGCTGGATGGTCATTGCAAAGCTTGATTTGCTTTTGAAGTACACACAGGCGTTGTAGGCCCCTAAGATTGCAGCCCCTGAACCGAGTCCCAACCCCCCAAAGGGTATTCCCGGCCGGCTCGCTTTTTCTGCTTGTGCAGCTTGTTCTTTCAGCCCACGCGTTAGTTCCTGAAGCTTGTGGTTGACACTGCTTTGACAGACGGGACGAGAATCCCAATCTCTTCCCTACTCCAAGTCATGTTTTGGCACCATAGAATCCGTGAGCTAGATGCGTGTACTGAAGTTCAAGGCACGCTTCTTTTCTTGGTACTTGGCAAGTTGAGGCGCCTTTACTGTGGCGTGGCCTGTTGGTCTCGCGGTTCTCATTGGCTCCGTGGCGGGTGCCTACTACCACAACAAAAAAATCATGAGCGGACCGAGCTTATTGCAGGAACCCGACTCGAAAATCTCGATGCTTGGGGCATTCAGTTCTTCTTTTCCGTTGGCTCCTGAAGGAAACTGTGCTAAGGCCAATCTTCGAATGTCAAGTCTTGCTGCAGTCTCCAGATCCGGGTTGCATGGGTCTAGGGCTGATTAGAGATAACGCGGCCACTGTTTTTCACCGCACGGGCCGCGTGGGCAGCCAGCCAGACGCCTCAGGACGCTACATCGAGCAGCTGTACAACTTCACTTGGGGAGCTGAGATTGCCCTGAGTCAATGAGTCAACTCGTGCGCACATGCGATATGAACCGAAAAAGCCTTCATATCATTATGATGTGGCATGTGTAGCACCGTCGTGCAAGCTCGGGCTCTCACTTCAAGAGGCGCTTGGCGAGACACCGGCTAGATTCTTTGAGTTGGGAGTTCCACCACCACCGATCCGCCCCGGCGGCCTGTGGATGTCACGGGTTAGGACTTGAATTGTCGTTTCCTTTTCTGACTCGTCTGGACCTCATCTTCGTTCCGCTCTTGTGTTCGCGTGCACAGTGAACTTCGCGACGCTCAAGGTCGTCCCTTTCAGACTACTGTCAGACTGTCAAATTTTCGATCTCGTGCTGCTCGAACTTTCAAAATGTGGCGCTCCAAAACGTTCAAAGTATCAAGCGTTTCGTGCTCGGGTGTCGTCAAACGTCAGAGTTTGAAGCTTCGAGCGTTTAAGCTCAAGGGTCTCAAACTGTCAAACTCCTGACCGAGTCGAAGCCTCAATCTCTCGACCTCTGGAACTCTCAAACCCTCAAACTTCCTCCATAGACTTCGCATTCATTGAACTCGAGAGTTCTCGAACTCCAAACTCGACACCCTCGAAGCTTTCGAGCTGGTTGATCTGGAAGTTTTCCAAGCTTTCAAACCGTTCGAGCTCGGAAGCTTTTCAAACTTTCAATCGGCACTTCCCAACCTGCAACCCGCTAAGTTCTGCATCAGAAGCCCCCTCCTAGATCCTAAACCTTTCGCGCCCATCACCATTGTGCTTTCCAGATTCCGACATGTTGGCACGGATATTGGGCTCCTTGAAGCCATCTTGGCTTAAGATCATAGAGTCGCGGATTCCTTGCAAAGCTTGTCATCAAGTTGAGTGCTCAGCGAGGTAGATGAGTTAGTCGAGACATGAGGGAGCTCGAGCTCGACCGTTTAGAGAACGTGAAGGAGGGGAAGTATGTCTACTGAGCCTACTGGATGTGTACGGGCGACCTCGGTAAGATGGTCGAAGTCGAAGTCATTGATGATTGGACAAGGGGCGAAATTCCCTAGCGGCACGTACAAGGTCAAGGCCATTTCCCTAAATATCTCCGACATCCAACAGAATAGCTTTTGGCATTGCGTGACGGACGTTTACGTATTCGAGAGCATCGGCCAGGTGAAGGACTTGGAGGAGGTCAGGCTGATCGTGGAGATCAGGGTTTCTGAGGTGAAACTGAAGCCAAAGACTTCCAAGCCGAGACCCATGTCTTCTGGATGAAGTCTGATAGCGATGTTCCACCCCAGGTGGGCATGGTCTTCGGGGATCTGAACGATAAAGGAAGAGTCAAAGTGAAGTTCCGAATGGGTCCTGGCGCTTGAGGTGCGGGTGGGCGGGTAAGAATGGAGGGAGGGGGGGGCGGGGTGGCGCGAGAGGGGGGTTGAGCACTCAGAAGCCGGTGTCCAACAGGGAGATCCGCTTGGCCCTCTCCTTTTCGCTTTGGCCCTCCAGCCGGCGTTGCAAGCTGCTAAGGCGGGGCCCACCCCAGCTGCGCTGGTGCTTGCTTCCCTTGATGATGTGTGCCTTGCTGGAGACTACCGGCAGGTCGCTGCAAGCCTTGCTCGTCTTGGGGCTGCCGCCCGACAAATCGGACTGGAACTCAACCCGACCAAATCACCTGCGGCGGTCCAGACAGCTGTGTTGACATGCGGCTCTTCCCCGCTGGGGTGCGGGTTAACTCCTGTGGCGCCTTCTCCATTCTTGGCGCCCCTGTTGGTCAGCAAGCATTCTGTGAGGCGTTCACTACCAAGGAGCGTGTGGAAAAGGCTCGGCCGCTTCTCACAGAGCTGGCAGCGCTCCCTGATGTACAAACTGCTCTGCTCCTTTTGCGGCACTGCGCGTCCTTCTGTCGGGTTGCCTACGCCTCCCGGGTCACCCCTCCAGGCCACCATTGCACTGCCCTGAATGCCTTCGACGCCGATGTCAGGGCTTGCCTTGCGCACATGTGCACTGGCCCTTTGCGTTCCGAGGCGTGGGCTCAGGCCACCCTGGCAACCTCCGTCGGCGGATTGGGCCTCCGCTCTGCCCGACGGCATGCGCCGGCCGCTTACTTGGCCTCCCTGGTCAACACTGCGCAGGCGTGCGCTTTGTTGGACCCAGACTACGACCTTGCCACCCACTCTGCCTACCTCGCAGCAATCACCGCCCACAACCAAGATGCAGTCAGACCATTTGCGTGCGCCCGTGCCGCCTACCACTCGGCAGCGTGAGCTGTCTCAGGCACTCGACCGCGCAGTGATCTCGCAGCTCCTTGCCCCGGGTCAGGGTCGTGAGGCCGCCCAGGCCCATCTGCGCCTTCTCGAGCTCCCCGGCTCTGGGGCTTGGCTCCACGCCCCTCCCAGCGAGGCTCTTGGGCTCCATGTTGCACCCCGCCTCTTCCGCGTAATGGTGCAGCTCCGTCTCCGCCTGCCCGTCTCTCCGGAAGACACGCATTGCCCCTTATGCGATGGTGTCGCTGACGGCTTTGGCGACCATTCTCGTTGCTGCCCATGTGGCAGGGAGCCATAACCGTCTCAGGGCCGTGGTGGCTGCTGGAGTGCAAGCTGCTGGGCTTGGGGTTGAGGTCGAGAAGCCGGGCCTGCTTCCCCTGCGACCGGATGGTGATGGTGCTGAGGATGGCGGTCGGGGTGCCGGGCATCGCCGCCCAGCGGATGTGCGGGTTGCGCAATGGGGCTTGCATGGGGCCGCCGCATTTGACCTTGCCGTCACCTCCGGCCTCCGCGCAGGAGCCGTCCTGGCTGAGTCCGCGCGCTCAGGCGTAGCCGCGGCTGAGGCCTACGAGGCGCGCAAGCGCACCCACCTCCAGACAGAGCAACACTGCAAAGCTGAAGGCCTCCAATTCGTCCCGCTTGTTGCCGAAGCCAGCAGCGTCCAACGGCTCAGTCTACCTGGCGCCAGCTCGCGGGCCTGATCTGGCGACAGTCCGGGGGTTGAAACGGCTCGCCTCCTGCAAAGCCTCTCCGTGGTGCTACAGCGTGAAAACGCCCGCGCTGTGCTCCGTCGCCTGCCGTCAGGCGCGGGCGAGGCTCGCCCCAATACACCCTATATAAACTCTCAGGTTGCGGGGCTTGGGTGCTCACAGAGGGTTTTCAGAACTTTGGCTGTTCTGGGATGCTCACTGCAGAATACGTAGCGTTTCTCGGCACGTTCACGACCGTCTTCCGTCAGCAACCCCTGCCAGCGACAACTTGACGAAAGCTTGGCCTGCGCAGGGTCGCGTTTGGACAGTGAACAATGAAGCACCACTGACCCCTCGACAATGTCACATGACCCTCACACCTTATAATCAGGTTCAAGATGTATAGGGCAAAGAAACCAATACCAACATCATTTTCAGAAAGGGTGTTTGTGAATGAAAATAAATGAATGCGCAGATCTTATCAGTATTGCGGTTGGTGTCGTCTGTATGTATTTCAGCTATTTTTGTGGTACTTTACCTGATGGGCTGGGGTGGTGTTGGCGCAGGGCTGGAAGTGTGGCACTGTGTTTGAATACGGCAAGCGCAGCAACGTCGCGGACAGACGTGTGTCGAAGTACTTTGTCGCAGAGCCAAAGCACAACACTACAAACATCAAGACAGGAAAGAAAGTTTGCACACCTTTGCTAAAGAAGCAACAACGAAAATACACACTTCCAGCATACATTTTTAAAAGTCGCCCGAGCACCCGTGCATCACAGGAGCTCAGTCTCATTAGCAGAATTGCGGAAGTCCAACACAAGACCAACACATGTTGTCAAAACCACCTTACTTTCTGTTCTACGCCGCCGGGTTACACTTGTCGCGAACGTGCCATTTTTGTTTGGGCATGTTCACAAGCAACGTCAGCCCTAAACCCTTAACCCAATGAGGGTGTAGGGTTGATTAGTACATTGTTTGGTTGGAGAGATGCTAAGTAGCTAACTGGGACCATTTCCACACGCATTTACAAGCGTAAGGGTCATGGGTTTAGGGCTTAGGGTTCAGGCGGTTCAGGGTACAGGATGTTGGCCCCTAAGCTCCACACCCTCACGAGGTGAAGCGGAAACATCGCGAAATTCGGCTGAGGTGTTCCTTAGGGATGAGGGTCCTAGGTCACAGCCCCAAAAAAAACTGCCTTAGCAGCCAAGAGATCTGCGCGACATGCTGTAATGGCCCAGGAGTTGTCCAGCCGACTAGCCTGAAGTCTCAAAGCAAAGGTTGGGTTTGCACACAGCTTCAGGAAAGGGCCACGGCCCTTCTTTTGGATTTTGGGTCGGGCTCCGGATTTTTTCACAGCCGTTTCATGCCAGGCTCAAGCAGCACACAGCCTTTTCAGATCAGGAGAGAGTGACGTCCTCTGCGAATATGGCTTTCCTTCGCTTGGCCTGCGCACTGATGCTCCTTTTCTACATCGAGAATGCTTGCGCCATCAGGGGGGGCGACGTCTCGAACGTGGAATGCAAGGAGAAGCTCACCGTCACCGCAGCGAAGCAACACTTCATGACCGAGGTTCCTGCTATCTTCTATCCCTCAGACCCTGCATCCTCCACCCTAGGCCCTGAACCCTTAGCCGCCTTAGCCGAACGTAAACTCTCAACTCTGATCCCTTGAGAACCTACAAATCCTTGCCCCCGCGCCCTCAACATGCAGAGCTTCACCAAAAGGCCGCGGCTCCTAAACCTATGCAACCATGCAGCTTGTGTGGCGTGCGGGGTTAGTCTGGAGCTTAGAGTTTAGGGTTCGGGATAGTAGGAAATGAAGGTGTAGGGGTTTAAGAACATAGAGAATGGAGGATTGAACCCTTGGATTCCTTGACAAGGGGTGCTGTGCATGGATGGTTCCTTTCCCCATTCTCTACAAAGAATCAACACGGAGCATGAGGCTCTTTCTACAAAAGCCCACTAGCCTACACTCTCAACCTTCGTGGCGTGAAGATACAAGGTGCAGAAGATGCCAGCCACCGCCACAGCCTTGTGCAATTGGGCGACGAATGGACAAAATCCAGACGCCAGGGAGGAGGCGCTCAAACGATGCCGCCTCTTTAAGTAGGGCCGGGTGCGGGGTGTAGGCTGTAGGCTTCAGCATCTTACAAGACTTGGTCAGTTTTTTTTCTTGGACCAAGAAACGAAACCCTACTTGCGTGTTGAGAGGCGCTGACGTACATGGCCAAGCAGCTAAGCAAGCTGCAGGTGTGGATCGCCGAAGATTGGGTTCTTGCCAGGTGTTTGGAGTCTTGGGTGGAGGGTTAGGGCGCATGGCTTAGAGACAGGGGTTTAGCGTGGACGAACTCGGACCGAGCAACCCAAACCCAATGGATTGTAAATTGTATTTCCATCTTCGTAACTAGGAACTGGTTATAAGTTTCTAGGAATTCTAGTTCAGAGTGCGTCTACCCATATACGATGACATACGCCCCCCAAAGCTTAAAGCCAAAGCGAAATTACCCTGTGCTTGATTCATCCCAGCGTCGCCTGAGCCTCCGAAGCCCATCACATACCCGTACAAGAACCCCCAATCCCTAGCGCACAAGTCTACAGGTGACTGGGTGCACCAAAGAGATGTTGGAGAATGGCTTGGACAAGTATTGCGCCTCTATGACGTGATGTTTCCGTGCTGTTGCGGAAGCAGTGCTGCCCTTGCAAAGTCCTGGAGAGAGAGCAAAAGAAAGATGCTGTGGGCAGGGGCAATGGTTGTGGTTGAACGTGTGACGAGGATGATCTTGCAGACATTTACCCAGCCATTTCACCGTATGCCGCTTGAGAGCGAGGAGTTTCAGGCCTAGGCCCGAGCAACTGCGCCATAAAGGCGGCCCCCGGCTCTAAGCGCTGTAAGCTAATTCCTTCTTATCCTCGGCGCCATCAGCCCCAAAGCTTCGCCCCTCAGTGCCACAGTGCCACAGGATGCAGCAACAGAATCAGAAACTGGCCCGCGCATCAGAAACTGCGAATCAGAAACTGCGAAACGGGTCTAGTTGAGAATCAGAGCGAACCAGAAACTAGCCGAAACTAATGCGATTCAGTATAGTGGCATCGTGGGGTGAAAGGGGGGGGGAAAAAAGAGGATACTCCACGCCTCGCAAGTGATGGGGGCAGGGGTGGAGGTCGAAACAACCTCCTGGCAACCTCCACGTCGGAGGCTCGTTCACTGCTCGGTCAATCGACTCACCCATCCACCTGCCCTCTCACCCGCCCGCCCGCCCGCATCGACACCGCTCGCTTCAGAGTGATGGCTTTCCCGGTTTCCCAACCATCCGTTTCCCAGTTTCTGTTCAGCCATTTGATTCAGCCGTTTTGCTGTTTTCGAAACAGCCGTTTGCCGGTTTCCTAATCAGCCGTTTCCCGGTTTCCGATTATCCTGTTCTGGTTTCCGATTCAGTCGTTCTGGTTACCGATCCAGCGGTTCTGGTTTCCAATTTTCGTCGACCGGGTCAAAGCCTTGTTAACGCGAGCACTCTTTCCTACATGCCTTGCAAGGATTCTACCAACAACCCCCCGCGCCCCGCCCTGTGCAGGTTTGGGGTTTTAGGGGGGGCTGGAGACGCGCAACAGTCGGCTCAAGGGTTGAGCGATTAATAAAGGGTATAAGGTTGTTGTTTTAAGACCTCAAACCCTGCACCCGTTAGGCCGAACACGTGAAGCTGGCTAGAAGCCTTCCCTTGTTTTGCTTTGGTGGGTGGGCGGGTGGGGGTGGATGAGAAACCGAGTCTCAAGGCTGACCAGCTCTCTAAACCCTTCGGCTTTCGGGCTTAGGCTAGGGTTTGAGGCATCCCAAATCCAAACCATCGCAGAGTCCACAGTCCACAGCTCTCAAGACAGAGTCCCGAATTGCCAAGGCGTGGAGAAAAGCAACGCAGACTGAGGGAGCATCAGTGAGGGGATCTTGAGGGTCAAAGCAGGCCTCATCTTACAAGCTTAGGTCATCTCGAAGGGTTCCCAGAGAAGCATCATATTCAGAATTCTGGGCACTAGACACGATCAGCAATGAGCTATCAAAGGGGTATGTGTGTACATTAAGAGGAGGTTTGGGTTGCTCGTTGACCGATCTGATGATGAGAGCGAGGGAGATGAAGAGAGTCCCAAATCTGTCACCCCGGTCGCAAACAGTGGGCGGTTGTGCTCCTTGTTTACACCGTGGCCCGCATTGCAGCAAATCTTGCTTCGTGAGCATACACTTCTCCTGTGCGATTTTTTGTGCATCCTTTGTGTAGCAGTTCCAAATGCGACATTAGACCCTTGGCCCTCTATTCTAAACCGTAAGCATTGGCATACAGTCACGAGAGTCAGCTGCCATGCGGCGCTGCCTGTCGTGCAGATCCGGGTCTGAAGTGGATCTGGATAGCCTCTCATTGCGTGATGCCGCTGACGTTGCTTGGCCTCAACCCCACCCAGCCCCACCCAGCCCCACCCAGCCCCACCCAGCCCCACCCAGCCCCACCCAGCCCCACCCAGCCCCAGCACACACACACACACACACACCACACACACACACACACACACCCACACACACACACACACACACACACACACACACACACACACACACACACACACACACACACACACACACACACACACACACACACACACACACACACACACACACACACACACACACACACACACACACACACACACACACACACACACACACACACACACACACACACACACACACACAACACACACACACACACACACACACACACACACACACACACACACACACACACACACACACACACACACACACACACACACACACACACACACACACACACACACACACACACACACACACACACACACACACACACACACACACACACACACACACACACACACACACACACACACACACACACACACACACACACCACACACACAACACACACACACACACACCACACACACACACACACACACACACACACACACACACACACACACACACACACACACACACACACACACACACACACACACACACACACACACACCCTTAAACCCTAAACCCTAAACCCTAAACCCTAAACCCTAAACCCTAAACCCTAAACTGGAGCGAGCCGCGGGCGCTGCGGTAAGCAGCGGCGAGCGATACCGCGTGGCGACAGGCCCGCGGACGAGCCCGAGCCGTCAGGCGAAGCCTGGCGAGGGCTCGGGGCCAGTGCGCGCGGTGAGCGCGGCCCACGCTTAGAAGGGTTGAACCCGCGTGCCAGCGTCAGTCTGGCCCCAAAGAGAATAACCCTAAACCTTCGGGTTTTAAGTTAAGTCGCTCCATCCTTTAGGATTCTTGGGTTTAGGATTTAGGATTCTAGGCTTTAGGATTCTAGGCCTTTAGGATTTAGGATTTAGGGTTCGGGGCCTTTAGGATTTAGGATTCAGAGCCTTTAGGGTTTAGGATTCAGGGCCTTGAGGGTTTAGGATTCAGGGCCTTTAGGGTTTAGGATTTAGGATTCATGGCCGTTAGGGTTTAGGATTCAGGGCCTTTAGGGTTTAGGATTCAGGACCTTTAGGGTTTAGGGTTCAGGGCCTTTAGGGTTTAGGATTCAGGGCCTTTAGGGTTTAGAATTCAGGGCCTTGAGGGTTTAGGATTTAGGATTCAGGGCCTTTAGGGTTTAGGATTCAGGGCCTTTAGGGTTTAGGATTCAGGGCCTTGAGGGTTTAGGATTTGTGGATCTCCACGTCTACGGTAAGAGGCAGTGGAGTATTGCGCGGTTGACCCTTCTTTCGGGTCGAATGATTCTGCTCTCTTGCTGGTGTGAGGGCTCAAGGCCACAGATGTGGCAATAGAGCCGCAGAGCCCTAGGCACCCGAAGCCAATGAAGCGCACCTGGAGACAAAAGATGGCTTCTGACATGAGTCGCTGGCAATTCCGAAAGCTCATACGATACCAGCGTCAGCAGTTGCATCGGTCTCAGTGTTATGAGGCAAAGGTCGGTTTGCATGACCAACTTCAAGTTATACAGGTTAAGAGCCTTGAGATTCCACCGATTGAGTTTGCGCGGGCAAGTGGTTTTATGGGTGGTGCCAGTGGTGCGGTTGAAGGTTCTATTCACGGCGGCGGGCAGAGTCATCTTGCAGCTGAGCAACATGAGTGTAATTGGGAGGAGTATTTCGACACACTGCATGTGGACCGAGCAACTCAAACTACGCCGAGGCCGGCAGCTACCGCTACATCCACGCAGGTTCAGATTGATGATGCCCTACACCTAGGCGGCCCTTCAACAGTCCTTGGTGGGGCATGCTGGTCCGGCAGCTGGGAACCTCTGACGCAGCAGGTGCGCCCGATAGGGCGTTGTGTCCGGGTGAGCTGTGGCGTGGACAAGGCTGGTTGGCCCACTTTAGGCGAACCTGGTGTTGTCATAGGTGCCAGAGGGGCGGCTTGCAGAGTGATGCTGGACAGATGCGCTCCCGAATCAGCTGTTTGGCCAAAGAGTATATTCCAGGCATGGATCCCGAAGCCAGACATTTTTTGGGGCCCCTTGGTTACTCGAATGCTGTTTTCTGCTGAAACCGTTTCCACTGCTACCCAGTCTGAGCCAGCGTATGAACACCATGGAAACGCGATGGTTCAGACACCAACAGGCTGGGAGCAGGGGGGCTGCGAGACTACTTCAACACATCGTGTGACCAGGGAGGATGAGATCATTAACCAGTACCACTGTGGTGCACTCTACACCGAGCGCTGGATAACGGCGCTCGAACGCAGGCTCGATGGCGACGTACCAGAAGTCAAAGGCATCAGAGAAGAATTCGAGGAATGGGATGCCCGGATGTGTATATTCAGGCCCGTGGACCAACGTGACGTCAGCATACAGGCTACAAGCAGGTTGTGATGGAGATCCGAAATCGTTGCTCACATCCCCATGCTCGCAAAGCGGGGGGTGTGGATCTCCACGTCTACGGCAAGAGGCAGTGGAGTATTGCGCGGTTGACCCTTCTTTCGGGTCGAATGATTCTGCTCTCTTGCTGGTGTGAGGGCTCAAGGCCACAGATGTGGCAATAGAGCCGCAGAGCCCTAGGCACCCGAAGCCAATGAAGCGCACCTGGAGACAAAAGATGGCTTCTGACATGAGTCGCTGGCAATTCCGAAAGCTCATACGATACCAGCGTCAGCAGTTGCATCGGTCTCAGTGTTATGAGGCAAAGGTCGGTTTGCATGACCAACTTCAAGTTATACAGGATTTAGGGTTCAGGGCCTTTAGGGTTTAGGATTCAGGGCCTTTAGGGTTTAGGATTCAGGGCCCTGA